TTGTTAAGGTGTTGTGAATGTAGCTTGTTATGGGAGGTGTGTGCTGGATGTTGTTAAGGTGTTGTGAATGTAGCTTGTTATGGGAGGTGTGTGCTGGATGTTGTTAAGGTGTTGTGAATGTAGCTTGTTATGGGAGGTGTGTGCTGGATGTTGTTAAGGTGTTGTGAATGTAGCTTGTTATGGGAGGTGTGTGCTGGATGTTGTTAAGGTGTTGTGAGTGTAGCTTGTTATGGGAGGTGTGTGCTGGATGTTGTTAAGGTGTTGTGAGTGTAGCTTGTTATGGGAGATGTGTGCTGGATGTTGTTTAGGTGTTGTGAGTGTAGCAGATTGTTTAGGTGAGTGAATAGGGGTGCTTTGTTTTGGTTGTTTTTGAATTTTTTGATGGTGGATTTTTTAGTGTTGGTATATTTAGTTGAAATAAGTTTTTATATTGGGTTGTGTTGGGCCCTAGCCCAGTAATTGAGTGCAGTTTGATTGAAGGGATGCCTGTAAGTAGGAGAAAAGTGTTGTGGGAGGTGCCAGTCCTAGTGCTTAGGGCTAGCTTAAGGGCTTTATATTGAATGGAATTTAGTTTTTGTAAGTTAGATGGGGAGAGGGAGTGGAGGACCAGAACGGCGTAGTCCAGTCTCGACTGTATAAGAGTTTTGTATATGTTTATCTCATGAGATTTAGATCTTTTTGACAGGAGTTGACGAAATTATTAATATGGGGTGTCCATGTCATGTGTTGGTCAAAAGTTACCCCTAGGAATTTTGCCTCTTTTTCGAACTTGATTTCCTGGTTATTAAGGTGCATTCTCTTCCAAAAGAGGTTACTTGTCATATCTTCCTACGAACCTCTGTTCTAATACGGCCATATTTCCCGGTTCTCGTAAAATCCCCTAGCGGCAAAAGATCGCAACACGAATTCTCTCCCTTCTTTCTATCCAATCAGAACACGTGTTACATCGACTTAGATTCAACTTGACTAACACAAGCAAATGTGGGGCCACAAATATCCCCCATCTGCCGGGGACTTGTGTTGATATTACACACAAGACGTTTAATGGCTAGCTTGTGCGTTGTCAACGAGGGCGATGGAGACGCCACTGAACCACCATAACATGACTGAGTTCTGTCTAGAAAATACGTTTCGCATCGCGCACAGGAAGAGGTTTAGTTTTCTCGAAGCATACGGAAGTTACCGAGGCCTTGCGAATGATCACTTTTGAAACAACGTCGCTGATTGCACAACTAAATCTGATTGCCTCCAATCACGAGTCTTGAACGCTCACACCATGAAAGGGCCGTATTAGAACAGAGGTTACGTAGGAAGATATGACAGGAGTAACCTCTGTGGGAAGAGAATGATTAAGGTGTAGTTGGGTGTATAATTTTGCATTCTTTGATTTTTGAATTATATGCCCACATTTTTTTTGACATTAATATGGAACCCCCATTTTTGGGCCCAGTTTTGGATATGATTTAGTATTCTTTGAGTTTTGATTGTGGCTTGGTTTCCTGAAGTGGATGAAATCCAAAAAGAAATGTCATCAGCAAATTTAAGAGTAGAAATTTCTTGCCACTTGTCTGGGAAAATGTCGTTTATCATAAAGTTGAATAATGTTGGGGATATTATGCTCCCCTGGGGGGTTCCATTTTCTAGTGGATAAGGGTCCGAGATGGTGGTGTGAGATTTGACGATTATTTGTCTATTATTAAGGAATGCATGAATGAAATTTAGAATGCGCCCGTGTATGGCATTTTTCTGTAGTTTTGGGATGAGGTCGTTGTGCCAAACCATGTCGAAAGCTTTGCTAAAGTCAATAAAAATGGCCAGCGTGTATTGTTTTTGTGCTTGTGCTACCTTTATATCATGTTCCAAATGTAAGATATGGTCTAATGTTTGTCGGTTTGGAGTGAAGCCACTCTGGTCCTGTTTGATTAAGTTATGGGTAAGAAATCGGTGTTTTAGTCTGTTATTTACTATAGACTCAAGTGATTTACATAAGTGTGAGGTGAGTTAAATAGGCCGAAATGAATCTGGGGAGTTGATGGGTTTCCCTGGCTTTAGGATTGGCACCACCTTAGCTGTTTTCCAAGAAGATGGTATGTTTCCTGTGGTCCAGATTTAGTTAAATAGTGTGAGTGTTAAGTTAAGCATGTTTGGTGGAAGTTTGTTGAGTATAGTGTATGTGATGTTGTCTGGACCAGGGGCTGAGGCTGGGTTTTTTATGTTGAAGGGCTGCCTTACGTTCATGAATATTTATGTTTTTGTTTATGGGTAAGTGTGTATGGGGTGGTTCTGGTGAGTAGGGTGGTTGGTTTTTGATGATGTTTTGGAAATGTGCTGGGTAGTTGGTGGAGCTGCAAGTTTCCGAAAAGTGATAGCATTGAGAATTAAGGGTCCTGCCCGGAGGGGGGTCTATGATAAGAGTGGATACACCGAATGTTTGCTGAATACAATAAACAGGCAAAGAGGATAGAATTTCGGTGCACTTTGGATATATATTGAAACAGTTATGTTGCTTGAATATAATGAAGTTTTACAAAACTTACTGAAATGGTTAACTCTATGACAGTAAGATCGGGACCGGCTAAGATCGGTTAGTGGAATGGCACCCAGTGCTATTGTTTGACCAGCACCCCGCAATTCCATGTATAAACAGACTATATGTATGTTTGTCTTGTTAAAACACATACAGAAAAACGGCACGTTCACGTTGCACATTTGACAATCGTGGCATTTCATGTACCGTTAGAACTGTGGTTTAAAAGTGTTTTGTCAATACTTGAGGTCAATGCAAACACGTGCATATGAAGAAAACTTCGATGCGAAGATCACGTGATTGACTGCACGTGCAAAACCTGATTTGGCACTAACGTCATTTGCATGACGAATGGATGGGTTTGTGTGGGTTTTGCTAACGTTTTTGTGGAGTCGAAAGATAGGGATCCCATTTCGGATACATAGATGTATCATCAGAGAAAAGTTATTCATTATTTTTCAAATTACAATTTGTGAAGTTTCTTTTTTGACTCAGTATACATGTATGTGGTCTGCATGACTGCACAACGAAGCGATGCTTGTAGCACATGGTGCCCGAGTTACGACTAATCGCAAATAGGTTTATTGACGAGATTTGCTGGCAATGAAAACATTTCAACGATTCTGACTGTATTTACGTGTAGGTACTCTAGATTTATAGTAAGAGTTTCTACATTGTTAATGAATTATTATATCATGTTAATTATTGAGCGATGTCTTTTGATGATTGGGACATTTAGACATCGTTCATGTTGGAGAGAAAATCGACTCCAGCTGAACATTATTCAATTCGGTTACATTTTTTGTAGATACATGAACTTTGTGACCCTGTTTATACAAGATAAACACGTGTAAACGCAGCCAGCCAAAAGATCAAAGAACCAACAACTCAACAACAACTGACTTTGTTGATATTATTCTGAAACACATCTGATAACATTGTAAATGTATATTGGCACATAAAGAAACTATGCATTGTTAAAATATTATCCCAGTTGATAAGTACGATAACAATGTCGAAGGTACATATAAACTGTAATGGAGGGATCATGAGACCATAACAAGTTGGGAGAATTTCAACTGAAAAGTCAATCGCAATGACGTCACGAGTCCACAAGCGGGACGGGTCAAACGACCATGTCACAAGCTCAATAACGGGTATGTCCACCATCGGCATTGAGAACAGCAGTGCATCGACGACGCATAGAGCCTATCAAACGTGCAAGGAAGGCTTGTGGATGTCACGCCAGATTCTCTCAAGTTCTGTTGCAAGGTCAAGGATGTTATCTGGCGGATGAGGAAGACGGCGTAGACGTCGATCCATCTCGTCCAAAAAATGTTCTATCGGGGAGAGATCCGGTGAATTTGCAGGCCAAGGCAGTAAGTCAACGTTGTGGTGTTGCAAGGAATCCATAGCAACCCTTGCCGTATGAGGGCGGGCATTGTTCTGTTGGAATGTTAACCCAGGGCCATGACGTTGCATAAAAGGAATCGCCACAGGTCGGAGGATCTGATCCCTCTAGCCCACACCAGTTAAGTTGCCCTGAACAATCACCAAAGGAGTTCTTTGGCGTGCTGTTATTCCACCCCAAATCATCACGGAACCACCACCAAAGCGATTCCTTTCAAGACATAGGCATGTGCATAACGTTCTCCCAAGCGTCTATAGGCACGTTGACGTCCATCACTATGGGAAATGTTAAACCTGGACTCATCTGTAAAAACAACATTTCTCTACCAAAACAAGGGTCTGCGGACATGATTTCGGCACAACATTCGACGAGCTTGTCGATGGCGTTGTGTCAGGATAGACTGTATGGCGGGACGTCGTGGTCTGATCCTGTGATGACGTAAACGTTGTCGAACTGTGTTGGGGTGGATACGGCGAAGTCCTGGGATGGTCCGGGCAGTCATCACTGCAGTCTGAAACCTGTGGCGAAGATGGGTCACCCTTATCCATCTGTCCTGTCTTGGCGTTGTTACACGTGGACGTCCAGAACGTGGCCGATCGATGACGTCATTTGTGTTCTGGTAGCGTCTCACCAGTGCAGAAATGGTGTTCCGGTGGCAGTGGAAATGTGTAGCCACTTGTCGTTGAGACATTCCCCCACGGACAATCCCAATGGCCTCATGACGTTGTGCAGACGTTAGCCTTGGCATGCTATGCGTTTCAATAGCCATTTATTTTTTTGAACGATCGCAAGGGCAGGGGTTGAGCTTTCCAAAGTGATAGTATTGTGTGGCATTCATATGCTCTGTTTCTCTTTCCCGGACTGCACGTGCAACAACGTCTTGCACGTCTCAAGGACGAAACCACTGACATCACGGAACGTGGCACGTGCATGCATGTTGGATACATATCACTAATCTCTGAGTTTAAATCCTTATGTGTCTACACAGGTTTGATAAATTTTGATTTTAATGTTTTGTATTGTGCCTAGTATATGTATGTACACCATGACACTTCAACCTACCTCTTGGAGCACAAGTCTCTTCCGTCCCCCTGCACAGATGTTCCGTCTCGCTTGGGTCATTGAAGGCTGGAACATAGAATAAGTCATACGGGAACCACTGCATGGACATCGTCAGGGACGTGGAGGACATAGAGACAACTACACCATGTGCTGGATCCATCGCGCGTGTTACTAGAGGCATCAAAATACGTGTAAGCTGGAGCACACAGGTGTTACTGCTTGTATTAGGTGGCTGTTACTCTTGGTATTGGATGGCTATTACTGTTGGTATTAGGTGACTATTACTGTTGGTATTAGATGGCTATTACTGTTGGTATTAGGTTGCCATTGCTGTTGGTATTAGGTGGCTATTACTGTTGGTATTAGGTGGCTCTTGCTGTTGGTGTTAGGTGGCTATTACTGTTGGTATTAGGAGGCCATTGCTGTTGGTATTAGATGGCTATTACTGTTGGTATTAGGTGGCTACTACTGTTGGTATTAGGTGGCTATTGCTGTTGGTGTTAGGTGGCTATTACTGTTGGTGTTAGGTAGCTATTACTGTTGGTGCTAGGTGGCTATTACTGTTGGTATTAGATGGCTATTACTGTGGGTATTAGGTGGCTATTGCGGTAGGTGTTAAGTGGCTATTACTGTTGGTATTAGGTGGCTATTGCGGTTGGTATTAGGTGGCTATTGCTGTTGGTATTAGGTGGCTATTGCTGTTGGTGTTAGGTGGCTATTACTGTTGGTATAAACTTGCTATTACTGTTGGTATTAGGTGGCTGTTGCTGTTGGTATTAGGGGGCTAATGCTGTTTGTTTTCGGTGGCTATTGCTGTTGGTGTAAGGTGGCTATTACTGTGTGGGTATTAGGTGGCTATTACTGTTAGTATTATGTGGCTATTATTCTTGGTATTTGGTGGCTATTACTGTTGGTGGCTGACTTACTGTGATGGTATTAGGTGGCTATTGCTGTTGGTATAAGCTTGCAATTGCCGTTGGTATAAGGTGCCTATAACTGTTGGTATTAGGTGGCTATTACTGTTGGTATAAGGTGGCTATTACTATTTGTATTAGGAGGCTATTACTGTTTGTATTAGGTGGCTATTACTGTTGGCATTAGGTGACTATTACTGTTGGTTTTTGGTGGCTATTACTGTTGGTATTAAGTGGCTATTACTGTGTGGGTATTAGGTGGCTATTACTGTTAGTATTAGGTGGCTATTATTGTTGGTATTAGGTGACTAGTACTGTGATGGTATTAGGTGGCTATTGCTGTTGGTATAAGCTTGCAATTGCCGTTGGTATAAGGTGCCTATAACTGTTGGTATTAGGTGGCTATTACTGTTGGTATAAGGTGGCTATTACTATTTGTATTAGGAGGCTATTACTGTTTGTATTAGGTGGCTATTACTGTTGGCATTAGGTGACTATTACTGTTGGTATTAGATGGCTATTACTGTTGTCATGAAGTGACTATTACTGTTAGTTTTTGGTGGCTATTACTGTTGGTATTAGGTTGTCAATGCTGTTGGTATTGGATGGCTATTACTATTGGTATTAAGCGGTTATTGCTGTTGGTATCAGGTGGCTCTTTCTGTTGGTGTTAGGTAGCTATTGCTGTTGGTATAAAGTGGCTATTACTCTGGGTATTAAGTGACTATTACTGTTGGTATTAGAAGGCTATTACTGTTTGTATTGGGTGGCTTTTGTTGTTGGTATTAGCTTGCAATTACTGTTGGTATAAGATGCCTATAATTGTTGGTATTAGATGGCTATTACTGTTTGTATTAGGTGGCTATTACTGTTGGCATTAGACGGCTACTACTGTTTGTAATTAGACGGCTATTACTTTTTGCATTAGGTGGCTAGTACTGTCGATGTTATGTGGCTATTACCGTTTTGATTAGGTGGCTATTACTGTTGGTATTAGGTGGATGTTGCTGTTGGTACTAGGTGGCTATTGCTGTTTGTATTAGGTGGCTATTACTGATGGTGTTAGGTGGCTATTAGTGTTGGTATCAGGTGGATATCCCTGAGGGTATTAGGTGGCTATTCCTGTTGGTATTTAAGTGGCTATTGCTGTTGGTATTAAATGGCTATTACTGTTGGTATTAGATGGCTATTACTGTTGGTGCTAGGTGGCTATTACTGTTGGTATTAGATGGCTATTACTGTGGGTATAAGGTAACTATTACTATTGGTATTAAGTCGCTATTGCTGTTGGTATTAGGTGACTATTACTGTTGGTATTAGCTTGCTGTTACTGTTGGTATTAGGTGAATACTGATGTTGGTGATTAGGTGGCTATTACTGGTCGTTATTGATGTATGGTTATTACTGTTGGTGTTATGTGACTATTACTGTTGGTATTAGGTGGTTATTACTGTTGGTATTAGGAAGCTATTTTGTTGGTTGGCTATTAGGTGGCTATTACTCTGTTGATATTAGGTGGCTATTGCTGTTGGTGTTAGGTGGCTATTGCTGTTGGTATTATGGCTATTACTCTTGGTATTAGGTGGCTATTGCTGTTGGTATTAGGTGGCTATTACTGTTGGAGTGAGGTGGTTATTACCGTTGGTATTAGGTGGCTATTATGTTGGTATTAGGTGGCTATTACTGTTGGTAATGTGTGGCTATTACTGTTGGTATTAAATGGCTATTACTGTTGGTATTAGATGGCTATTACTGTTGGTGCTAGGTGGCTATTACTGTTGGTATTAGATGGCTATTACTGTGGGTATAAGGTAACTATTACTATTGGTATTAAGTCGCTATTGCTGTTGGTATTAGGTGACTATTACTGTTGGTATTAGCTTGCTGTTACTGTTGGTATTAGGAAGCTATTGTTGTTGGTATTAAGTGGCTGTTACTCTCGGTATTAGGTGGATACTGCTGTTGGTATAAGATGGCTATTACCGTTGGAGGGAAGTGGTTATTACTGTTGGTATCAGGTAGCTATTGCCGTTGGTATTAGGTGACTATTACTGTTGGTATCAGGTGGCTATTACTGAGGGTATTAGGTGGCTATTCCTGTTGGTATTAGGTGGCTATTTCAATTGGTATTAGATGGCTATTGCTGTTGGTATTAGGTGGCTATTGCGTTTGGTGATAGGTGGCCATTGCTGTTGGTATTAGCTTGCTATTACTGTTGGTATTAGGTGGCTAGTAATGTTGGTATTAAGTGGCTATTACTCTTGGTATCAGGTGAATATCCTGAGTGTATTAGGTGGATATTCCTGTTGGTATTTAAGTGGCTATTGCTGTTGGTATTAGGTGGCTATTACTGTTGGTATTAGATGACTATTACTGTTGATATAAGGTGGCTATTACTATTGGTATTAAGTCGCTTTTGCTCTTGGTATTAGGTGGCTATTGCTGTTGGTATTAGGTGGCTATTACTGTTGGTATTAGATGACTATTACTGTTGGTATTAGGTGGCTATTGCTGTTGGTGTTAGGTGGTTATTGCTTTTGTTGTTAGGTGGCCATTGCTGATGGTATTAGCTTGCTGTTACTGTTGGTATTAGGTTGCTGTTGCTGTTGGTATTAGGCGGCTAGGTACTCTGTTGGTGGGGTGGCTGTTGCTGTTGGTATTAAGTCGCTTTTGCTCTTGGTATTAGGTGGCTATCACTTTTGATATAAGGTGCCTATAACTGTTGGTATTAGGTGGCTATTACTGTTGGTATTAGGTGGCTATTACTGTTGGAATTAGGTGGCCGTTGCTGTTGGTATTAGATAGCTATTGCTGTTGGTGACTATTCCTGTTGGTGTTAGGTGGAAATTGCTGTTGGTACTAAGTGGCAATTGCTGTTGGTACTAAGTGGCTATTGCTTTTTTTGTTAGGTGGTCATTACTGTTGGTATTAGCTTGCTGTTACTGTTGGTATTAGGCGGCTAGTACTCTGTTGGTATTAGGTGGCTATTGCTGTTGGTATTTGTTGGATACTGCTGTTGGTATTAGATACATGTTACTGTTCGTAATGGGTTGTTATTACTGTTTGTATTAGTTCGTTTTTACCGTTGGTATTAAGTGGCTATTGCTGTTGGTATTAGGTGGGTATTGCTGTTGGTATCAGGTAGGTATTGCTGTTTGTGTTAGGTGGTTATAGCTGTTGGTATTAGGAGACTATTCCTGTTGGTATTAGGTGACTAGTACTGTTGGTATTACGTGGCTATTACTGTTGGAATTAGGTGATCGTTGCTGTTGGTATTAGATAGTTATTGCTGTTGGTATTAGGTGGCTATTCCTGCTGGTCTTAGGTGGCCATTGCTGTTGGTATTAAGTGGCAATTACTGTTGGTATTAGGCGACTATTGCTTTTATTGTTAGGTGGTCATTGCTGTTGGTATTAGCTAGCTGTTACTGTTGGTATTAGGTGGTTATTACCGTTGGTATTAAACGGCTAGTACTCTGTTGGTTTTAACTGACTATTACTGTTGGTATTAGTTGGATACTGCTGTTGGTATTAGATAACTGTTACTTTTCGTAATGGGTGGTTATTACTGTTGGTATTTGTTCGTTTTTACCGTTGGTATTAAGTGGCTATTGCTGTTGGTATTAGGTGGCTATTACTTTTGGTATCAGGTGGTTATTACTGGTCGCAATCGGTGTGGCTATTACTGTTGGTGTTAGGTGACTATTACTTTTGATATCAGGTGGTTATAAAGTGGCTATTACTATTGATATCCGGTGGTTATTACTGTTGGTATTAGGAGGCTATTGTTGTTGGTATTTGGTGGCTATTGCCGTTGGTATTTGGTGACTATTGCTGTTGGTGTTAGGTGGCTTTTGATGTTGGTATTAAGTGGCTATTACTCTGGGTATTAAGTGGCTATTGCTGTTGGTATTAAATGGCTATTACCGTTGGAGTGAGTTGGCTATTACTGTTGGTATGAGGTAGCTATTACCGTTGGTCTTAGGTGACTATTACTGTTGGAATTAGGTGGCCGTTGCTGTTGGTGTTAGATAGCTATTGCTGTTGGTATTAGGTGGCTATTCCTGTTGGTGTTAGGTGGCCATTGCTGTTGGTATTAAGTGGCAATTAGTGTTGGTATTATCTGGCTATTGCTTTTGTTGTTAGGTGGCCATTCCTGTTGGTATTAGCTTGCTGTTACTGTTGGTATTAGGTGGCTATTACTGTTGGTATTAGGTGGCTATTACTGTTGGTATTAGATGGCTATTACTGTTTGTATGAGGTGGTTATTACTGTTGGTATTAGGAGGCTATTGTTGTTGGTATTAGGTGGCTATTACTGTTGGTATTAGATGGCTATTACTGTGGGTATAAGGTAGCTATTACTATTGGTATTAAGTGACTAGTACTGTTGGTATTAAGTGGCTAGTACTCTTGGTATTAAGTGGATACTGCTGTTGGTATTAGGTGGCTATTACTGGTCGTAATGTGTGGTTATTACTGTTGGTATTAGGTGGCTATTACTGTTGGTATTAGGTGGCCATTGCTGTTGGTATTGGATGGCTATTACCTTTGGTATTTGGCAGCTATTGCTGTTGGTATTAGGTGGCTCTTGCTGTTGGTGTTAGGTGGCTATTATTGAGTGGGTAGTAGGTGGCTATTACTGTTTGTATTAGTGACTATTACTGTGTGGATATTAGATGGCTATTACTGTGTAGGGATTAGATGGGTATTATTGTTGGTATTAGGTGGATAGTACTATGTGGGTATTACGTGGCTATTATTGTGTCGTTATCAGGTGGCTATTACTGTTGATATCAGGTGGCTATTACTGTTGACATTAGGTGGCAATTACTGTTGGCATTGGGTGGCTGGTACTGATGGTATTAGATGGCTACTACTGTTGGTATTAGGTGGCTATAAGTGTTGGTATTAGATGGCTACTACTGTAGGCATTAGATGGCTACTACTGTTGGTATTAGGTGGTTATTACTGTTGGTATTAGATGGCTACTACTGTTTGCATTAGGTGGCTACTACCGTTGGTATTAGGGGCAATAACTGTTGGTATTAGATGGCTACTACTCATTTTATTAGTTGGCTACTACTGTTGACATTAGATGGCTATTGCTGTTGGTTTTAGATGGCTATTACTGTTGGTATTAGATGGCTATTAGTGTTGGTATTAGATGGCTTTTACTGTGTGGGTATTAGGTGGCTATTACTGTTGGTATTAGATGGCTATTACTGTTGGAATTAGGGGGCTATTATTGTTTTGGTATTATGTGGCTGTTACTGCTGGTATTAGATGGCTATTATTGTTGGTATTAGATTGCTATTACTGTGTGGGTATTAGGTGACCATTACTGTTTGCATTAGATGGCTATTATTGTTTGAGTATTAGCTTGCTGTTACTGGTGGTATTAGGTGGCTGTTGCTGTTGGTAATAGGCGGCTAGTACTCTGTTGGTATTAGGTGGCTATTACTGTTGGTATTAGTTGGATACTGCTGTTGGTATTAAATGGCAGTTACTGTTCGTAATGGGTGGTTATTACTGTTGGTATCAAGTGGCTATTACTGATTGTATTAGGTGGCTATTCCTGTTAGTATTAGGTGGCTATTATTCTTTGTATTTGGTGGCTATTACTGTTGGTATTAGGTGGCTATTACACTTGGTATTAGATGGCTATTACTGTGTGGGTATGAGGTGGCTATTACTGTTGGTATTAGGTTGCTAGTACTGTGATGGTATTAGGTGGCTATAGCTGTTGGTATTAGCTTGCAATTTCCGTTGGTATAAGGTGCCTATAACTCTTGGTATTAGGTGGCTATTATTGTTGGTGTAAGGTGCCTATAACTGTTTGTATTAGCTTGCTGTTACTGTTTGTATTAAGTGGCTATTGCTCTTGCTATTAGGCGGCTAGTACTCTGTTGGTATTAGGGGGAGATTACTGTTGGTATTAGTTGGATACTGCTGTTGGTATTAGATAGCTGTTACTGTTCGTAATGGGTGGTTATTACTGTTGGAATTAGTTCGTTTTTACCGTTGGTATTTAGTGGCTATTGCTGTTGGTATTAGGAGGCTATTACTGTTGGTATCAGGTGGGTATTGCTATTAGGAGGCTATTACTGTTGGTATTAGGTGGATATCCCTGAGGGTATTACGTGGCTATTCCTGTTGGTATTTACGTGGCTATTGCTGTTGGTATTAGGTGGCTATTGCTGTTGGTATTAGGTGAGTATTACTGTTTTTATTAGGTGGCTATTGCTGTTGGTATTAGATGGCTATTACTCTTGGCATTAGGTTGCTATGACTGTGGATATTAGACGGCTACTACTGTTTATAATTAGACGACTATTACTGTTTGCATTAGGTGGCTAGTGCTGTCGATGTTATGTGGCTATTGCTGTTTTGATTATATGACTATTACTGTTGGTATTAGGTGACTATTACTGTTGGTATCAGGTGGCTATTACTGGTCGTAATGTGTGGTTATTACTGTTGGTGTTAGGTGGTTATTACTGTTGGTATTAAGAGGCTATTCCTGTTAGTATTAGATGGTTATTACTGTTGGTATCAAGTGGTTATTACTGGTCGTAATGTGTGGTTATTACTGTTGGTGTTAGGTGGCTATTACTGTAGGTTCCAGGTGGTTATTACTGTTGGTATTAGGAGGCTATTATTGTTGGTATTAGGTGGCTATTGCCGTTGGTATTAGGTTGCTATTGCTGTTGGTGTTAGGTGGCTATTGCTGCTCGTATTAAGTGGCTATTACTCTGGGTATTAAGTGGCTATTACTGTTTGTATTAGATGGCTATTACCGTTGGAGTGAGGTGGCTATTACTGAGGGTATTAGGTGGCTATTCCTGTAGGTATTAGGTGACTATTTAAGTTGGTATTAGAAGGCCATTACTGTTGGTATTAGATGGCTATTACTGTTGGTATTAGGTGGCTATTGCTGTTTGTGTTAAGTGGTTATTGCTTTCGTTGTTAGGTGGCCATTGCTGTTGGTATTAGCTTGCTGTTACTGTTGGTATTAGGTGGCTGTTGCTGTTGGTATTAGACGACTAGTACTCTCTTGGTATTAAGTGGCTATTACTGTTGGTATTAGTTGGATACTGTTGTTGGTATTAGATGGCTGTTACTGTTCGTAATGGGTGGTTATTACTGTTGGTATCAGGTGGCTTTTACTCAGTGTATTAGGTGGCTATTCCTGTTGGTATTAGGTGACTATTCCTGATGATATTAGATGGCTATTACTGTTGGTATTAGATGGCTATTACTGTTTGTATTAGGTGGCTATTGCCATTGGTATTAGTTGGCTATTATTGTTGGTATAAGGTGCCTATAATTGTTGGTATTAGGTGGCTATTACCGTGTAGGTATTAGGCGGCTAGTACTGTTAGTATTAGGTGGCTATTATTCTTGGTATTTGGTGGCTATTACTGTTGGTATTAGGTGGCTATTACACTTGGTATTAAGGGTCTATTACTGTGTGGGTATGAGGTGGCTATTACTGTTGGTATTAGGTGGCTAGTACTGTGATGGTATTAGGTGGGTATTATTGTGTGGGTATTAGGAGGCTATTACTGTTGGCATTAGGTGGCCACTCCTGTTGGCATTAGGTGGCCACTCCTGTTGGCATAAGGTGGCTACTACTGTTGGTATAAGATGTCTACTACTGTTCGTATTAGATGGCTACTACTGTTGGTATTAGATGGCTACTACTGTTGGTGGTAGGTGCCTATAACTCTGGGTATTAGATGGCTACTACTGTTGGTATTAGATGGCTATTATTGAGTGGGTAGTAGGTGGCTATTACTGTTTGAATTAGTGACTATTACTGTGTGGGTATTAGATGGCTATTACTGTGTGGGTATTAGGTGGGTATTATTGTTGGTATTAGGTGACTAGTACTTTGTGGGTATTACGTGGCTATTATTGTGTCGTTATCAGGTGGCTATTACTGTTGACATTAGGTGGCTATTACTGTTGGCATTGGGTGGCTGTTACTGTTGGTATTAGATGGCTACTACTGTTGGTATTAGATGGCTACTACTGTTGGTATTAGGTGGCTATAAGTGTTGGTATTAGATGGCTACTACTGTAGGCATTAGATGGCTATTACTGTTGGTATTAGGTGGCTATTCCTGTTGGTATTAGATGTCCACTACTGTTGGGATTAGATGACTATTACTGTTGGTATTAGGTGGTTATTACTGTTGGTATTAGATGACTATTACTGTTGGTATTACGTGACTATTACTGTTGGTATTAGGGCAATAACTGTTGGTATTAGATGGCTACTACTCATGGTATTAGTCGGCTACTACTGTTGGCATTAGATGGCTATTACTGTTGGTTTTAAATGGTTATTATTGTTGGTATTAGATGGCTATTACCGTTGGTATTAGGGGACTATTATTGTTTGTTACTGCTGGTGATAGATGGCTATTATTTTGGTATTAGGTGGCTATTATTGTGTGGCATTAGGTGGCCATTACTGTTTGCATTAGATGGCTATTATTGTTTGTTGGTATTAGGTGGCTGTTACTGTTGGTATTAGGTGACGAGTACTGTTGGTATTAGTGGCTATTACTGTGTGGGTGATTAGGTGGCTAGTTACTGCTGGCATTAGATGGCTATTACTGTTGGTATTAGGGTGGGTATTATTGTGTGGGTATTAAGATGGCTATTACTGTTGGTATTAGATGGATATTACTGTTGGCATTAGGTGGCTACTACTGTTGGTGGTATGTGACTATAACTGTTGGTATTAGATGGCTAGTACTGTTGGTATTACATGGCTACTACTGTTGGGATTAGATGGCTACTACTGTTGGTGATAGGTGCCTATAACTGTGGGTATTAGATGGCTACTACTGTTGGTATGATAGACGGCTATTCTTGAGTGGGTAGTAGGTGGCTATTACTGTTTGTATTAGTTACTATTACTGTGTGGGTATTAGATGACTATTACTTTGTGGGTATTAGGTGAGTTTTATGGTTGGTGTTAGGTGGCTAGTACTGTGTGGGTAGTACGTGGCCATTATTGTTAGGGATCGTTATCAGGTGGCTATTACTGTTGGTATAAGGTGGCTAATACTGTTGACATTAGGTGGCTATTACTGTTGGCATTGGGTGGCTATTACTGATGGTATTAGATGGCTATTACTGTTGGTATTGGAAGGGTATTACTGTTGGTATTAGAAGGCTACTACTGTTGGCATTAGATGGCTATTACTGTTGGTATTGGAAGGCATTACTGTTGGTATTAGGTGGCCACTACTGTTGGCATTAGGTGGCTACTACCGTTGGTTTTAGGGGCAATAACTGTTGGTATTAGATGGCTACTACTCATGGTATTAGTCGGCTACTACTGTTGGCATTGAGTGGCTGGTACTGATGGTATAAGATGGCTATTACTGTTGGTTTTAGATGGCTATTACTGTTGGTATTAGATGGCTATTAGTGTTGGTATTAGATGGCTTTTACTGCGTGGGTATTAGGAGGCTATTACTGTTGGTATTAGATGGCTATTACTGTTGGAATTAGGGGGCTATTATTGTTTGGGTATTATGTGGCTGTTACTGCTGATGTTAGAAGGCTATTATTGTTGGTATTAGATGACTATTACTCTGTGGGTATTAGGTGGCCATCACTGTTTGCATTAGATGGCTATTATTGTTTCAGTATTAGGTGGCTGTTACTGTTGGTATTAGGTGGCTATTACTGTTGGTATTACGTGACTATTACTGTTGGTGTTAGATGTCTATTACTGTTGGTATTAGATGGTTACTACTGTTGGCATTAAATGGCTATTACTGTTGGTGTTAGATGGCTATTACTGTTGGTGTTAGATGGCTATTACTGCTGGTATTAGATGGCTCCTACTGTTAGTATTAGGTGGCTATTACTGTTGGTGGTAGGTGACTATAACTGTTGGTATTAGATGATTACTACTGTTGGTATTAGGTGGCAATTACTGCTGGTATTAGATGGCTATTATTGTTGGTATTAGATGGCTATTACTGTGTGGGTATTAGGTGGCCATTACTGTTTGCATTAGATGGCTATTATTGTTTGGGTATTAGGTGGCTGTTACTGTTGGTACTAGGTGGCTATTGGCATTAGGTGGGTATTATTGTGTGGGTATTAGGTGGCTATTACTGTTTGTATTAGATGGCTATTACTGTTTGCATTAGGTGGCTACTACTGTTGGTATTAGGTGGCTATTACTGTTGGTATTGGGTGGCTGGTACTGATGGTATTTGGTTGGTTACTACTGTTGGTATTAGATGGCTACTACTTTTGGTATTAGGTGGCTATTCCTGTTGGTATTAGGTGGCTATTGGTATTAGGGGGCTATTACTGTTGGTATTAGGTGGCTATTATTGTTTGGGTATTATGTAGCTGTTACTGTTGGTATTAGATGGCTATTATTGTTGGTATTAGGTGGCTATTATTGTTTGGGTATTATGTAGCTGTTACTGTTGGTATTAGATGGCTATTATTGTTGGTATTAGGTGGGTATTATTGTGTGGGTATTAGATGGTTATTACTGTTGGTATTAGATGGCTATTACCGTTGGCATTAGGTGGCTACTACTGTTGGTGGTAGGTGGCTATAACTGTTGGTATTAGATGGCTATTACTGTTCGCATTAGATGGTTACTACTGTTGGTATTAGATGGCTATTACTGTTGGTATTAGATGGCTACTAGTGTTGGTATTAGGTGGCTATTACTGTTGGTATTACGTGGCTATTACTGATGGTATTAGATGGCTACTACTGTTGGTATTAGGTGGCTATTATTGGTATAAGGTGGCTATTACTGGTCGGAATGTGTGGTTATTACAGTTGGTATTAGGAGGTTATTACTGTTCGTAATGTGTGGTTATTACTGTTGGTATTAGGTGGTTATTACTGTTGGTATTAGTAGCTATTACTGTGTGGGTAGTAGGTGACTATTACTCTTTTGTATTAGATGGCTATTACTGTGCGGGTAGTAGGGGGCTATTACTGTTTGTATTATTGAGTATTACCGTGTTGGTATTTGATGGCTATTACTGTGTGGGTATTAGGTCGGTATTACTGTTGGTATTAGGTGGCTAGTAGTCTGTGGGTATTACGTGTCTGTTATTGTGTGGGTATTAGGTGGCTATTAATGTTGGTATTAGGTGGCTAGTAGAGTGTGGGTTTTAGGTGGGTATTATTGTGTGGGTATTAGGTGGCTATTACTGTTGGTATTAGATGGCTATTATTGTTGGTATTAGATCTCTATTACTGTTTGAATTACGTGGCTATTATTGTTTTGGTATTAGGTGGCTGTTACTGCTGGTATTAGACGGCTATTATTGTTGGTATTAGATGGTTATTATTGTAGGTATTAGATGGTTATTATTGTGTGGGTATTAGGTGGCCACTTCTATTGGAATTAGATGGCTACTACTGTTGGCATTAGATGACTATAACTGTTGGTATTAGATGGCTATTACTGTTGGTATTAGATGGCTACTAGTGTTGGTATTAGTAGCTATTACTGTGTGGGTATTAGGTGGCTATTACTGTTGGCATTAGATGGCTATTATTGTGTGGGTAGTAGGTGGCTGTTACTGTTGGCATTAGATTTCTATTATTGTTGGTATTAGATGGCTAATACTGTATGGGTATTAGGTGGCCATAACTGTTGGCATTAGATGACTATTATTGTGTGGGTAGTAGGTGGGTATTAATGTTTGTATTAGTGACTATTACTGTGTGGGTATTAGATGGCTATTACTGTGTGGGTATTAGGTGGCTATTACTGTTGGTATTAGGTGGCTAGTACTGATGGTATTAGGTGGCTATTACTGTTGGTATTAGGTGGCTATTACTGTTTGTATTAGGTGTATTAGGTGGCTATTACTGTTGGTATTAGGTGGCTATTACTGTTGGTATTAGGTGGCTATTACTGTTGGTATTAGATGGCTATTACTGTTGGTATTGGGTGGCTATTACTGTTGGTATTAGGTGGCTATTACTGTTGGTATTAGGTGGCTATTACTGTGTGGGTATTAGGTGGCTATTACTGTTGGTATTAGGTGGCTATTAGTGTTATTATTAGGTGGCTATTGCTGTTGGTATTTGGTGGCTAGTACTGTGTGGGTATTAGGTGGCTATTACTGTTGGTTTCAGGTGGCTAATGCTGTTGGTATTAGGTGGCTAATACTGTTGGTATTATGTGGCTATTCCTGTTGGTATTAAGTGGCTCTTACTGTTGGTATTAGGTGTCTAATACTGTTGGTATTAGGTGGTTATTAGGTTGTTTTTAAATCGATCTATTGAGTAGGATCCTTTGTAGATGACAGAAACTCGCGTCTGCATGTTTAGCGGTATGCGGTTGAATAGTTTGGTTTGGTCAGGGGTGGTCCAATTCGTTTGGTAGTTGGCACATTGTTCCTGTGATGCATGCATTTTATTACTGTATCTTGGAAAACAAGTGAGTATTGTGAAAAGCGTTGTTTCAGACAAAAGGGTATTCAAATAAGTTCGTTATTTATAGGAACCTGCTTCATGTGTTATACTCATGGGATATGACAACGCAACACTATGAACAAATACTATCTTTAGATAATTATATCTACATGTTTTCTATCTTGGCACAGAAAAGACTCGTTACCTTCAACGCGCTTTTCCATCTCAAAGTTTGTGCCGGGAGCTGAAAACAATAAAGAAATACCCACTTCGGTTGACTGACTTGACTAACATTCACTCCCACTCCCACAGACGCAAACCTGTGTCAGACTGCATGTTACCTGGCAGTGACATTTGGCACTACTTCAGGTATCTCCCTCAGACGCAAACATGTTTCAGACTGCATGTTAACTGGCAGTGACACGTGACACTACTTCAGGTATCTCCCGCAAACACAAACCTGTGTCAGGCTACATGTTACCTGGCAGTGACACCTGGCACTACTTCAAGTATCTCCCACTGACACACACCTGTGTCAGTTTCTATTTTACTTGTCAGTGACATTTGGCACTACTTCAGGTATCTCCCACAAACGCAAACATGTTTCAGGCTGTATGTTACCTGCCAGTGACATTTGGCACTACTTCAGGTATCTCCCACAGACACAAACCTGTGTAGGACTGTATGTTACCTGCCAGTGACATTTGGCACTACTTCAGGTATCTCCCACAGACACAAACCTGTGTCAGGCTGCATGTTACCTGGCAGTGGCACCTGGCACTACTTCAGGTATCTCTCACAGACACAAACCTGTATCAGACTGCATGTTACGTGGCAGTGACATTTTGAACTACTTCAGGTATCTCCCACAGACGCTAACCTGTGTCAGACTGCATGCTACCTTGCAGTCACATTTGGCACTACTTCAGGTATCTCCCACAGACACAAACCTGTGTCAGGCTGTATGTTACGTGGCAGCGACACCTGGCACTACTTCAGGTATCTCCCACAGACGCAGACCTGTGTCAGACTGTATGTTACCTGGCAGTGACATTTGGCACTACTTCAGGTATCTCCCACAAACACAAACCTGTGTCAGGCTATATGTTACCTGGCAGTGACACATGACACTACTTCAGGTATCTCCCACAGACGCAAACCTGTGTCAGATTGCATGTTACCTTGCAATGACCACTGGCACTACTTCAGATATCTCCCACAGACGGAAACCTGTGTCAGACTGTATGTTACCTGGCAATGACCACTGGCACTACTTCAGGTATCTCTCATAGACGCAAACATCTTTCAGGCTGTATGTTACCTTGCAGTGACACATGACACTAATCAGGTATCTCCACAGACGCAAACATGTGTCAGATTGAATGTTACCTGGCAATGACCACTGGCACTACTTCAGGTATCTCCCACAGACACAAAATTTTGTGAGACTGTATGTTACCTGGCAGTCACATCTGGCCCTGCTTCAAGCATCTCGTGCAGAAGTAGACCTGTGTCAGACTGCATGTTACCTGGCAGTGACATTTGGCACTACTTCAGGTATCTCCCACAGACACAAACCTGTGTCAGACTGCATGTTACCTGGCAGTGACACATGACACTACTTCAGGTATCTCCCACAGACGCAAAATTCTGTTAGACTGTATGTTACTTGGCAGTGACACCTGACACAACTTCAGGTATCTCTCATAGACGCAAAATTCTGTTAGACTGTATGTTACTTGGCAGTGACACCTGGCACTACTTCAGGTATCTCCCATAGACGGAAACCTGTGTCAGACTGTATGTTACCTGGCAATGACCACTGGCACTACTTCAGGTATCTCCCACAGACGCAAACATGTTTTAGACTGCATGCTAACTTGCAGTGACACCTGGCACTACTTCAGGTATCTCTCATAGACGCAAAATTCTGTTAGACTGTATGTTACTTGGCAATGACACCTGGCACTACTTGAGGTATCTCCCACAAACACAAACCTGTGTCAGGCTGTATGTTACGTGGCAGTGACACATGGCACTACTTCAGGTATCTTCTACAGACACAAACTTGTGTCAGACTGCATGTTACCTCGCAGGTAGACCTGGCACTACTTCAGGTATCTCCCACAGACACAAACCTGTGTCAGACTGCATGCTACCTTGTAGTGACATTTGGCACTACTTCAGGTATCTCCCACAGACGCAAACCTGTGTCAGGTTGTATGTTACGTGGTAGTGACACCTGGCACTACTTCAGATATCTCCCACAGACGCAGACCTGTGTCAGACTGCATGTTACCTGGCAGTGAGATCTAGCACTGTGTCAGGTATCTCCCGTAGACGTAAACTTGTGTCAGACTGCATGTTACCTGGCAATGACACATGATACTACTTCAGGTATCTCCCACACACACAAACCTGTGTCAGGCTGCATGTTACCTGACAGTGACATCTAGCACTACTTCAGATTTCTCTCATAGACACATACCTGTGTCAGAATGCATGTTACCTAGCAGTGACAACTAGCACTATTTCAGGTATCTCCCACTCACACAAACTTGTGTTAGACTGTATGATACCTTGCAGTTACATCTGGCACTGCTTCAAGCATCTCCCACAGACACAAACCTGTGTAGGAGTGCATGTTACCTGGCAGTGGCACCTGGCACTACTTGAGGTATCTCCCAAAGACACAAACCTGTGTCAGACTTCATGTTACCTAGCAGTGACACCTGGTACTACTTCAGGTATCTCCCACAGACGCAAACCTGTGGCAGACTGCATGTTACCTGGCAGTGACATTTTGAACTACTTCAGGTATCTCCCACAGACACTAATCTGTGTCAGACTGCATGCTACCTTGCAGTGACATTTGGCACTACTTAAGATATCTCCCACAGACACAAACCTGTGTCAGGCTGTATGTTACGTGGCAGTGACACCTGGCACTACTTCAGATATCTCCCACAGACGCAGACCTGTGTCGGACTGCATGTTACCTGGCAGTGACATTAGGCACTGCTTCAGGTATCTCACACAGACTCAGACCTGTCAGACTGCATGTTACCTGGCAGTGACAGTTAGCACTTCAGGTATCTCACACAGACTCAGACCTGTCAGACTGCATGTTACCTGGCAGTGACATTTGGCACTGCTTCAGGTATCTCACACAGACTCAGACCTGTCAGACTGCATGTTACCTGGCAGTGACATTTGGCACTACTTCAGGCATTTCTGACAGATGCAGACCTGTGTCATGCATGTTTGTATAAACAGGGTCGGTGTAACACTTTTATACAAGATAAGAAGATTTAAAAACAGCCAGCTGTGTGATCAAAGATCTAACAACTCAACAACAACAGTTCTTTAACTGACTTTGCTGAAAATATTCTGAAACACATCTAATAACATTGTAAACGTATATATGTACACCATGGCATTGGCCGTCCCCCTGCACATTGGTTCCTTCTGTCTTGGGTCATTTGAGGCTGGAACACAGAATAAGTCATACGGGAACCACTACATGGACGTGGAGGACATAGAGACAACTACACCATGTGCTGGATCCATCGCGCTTGTTACTAGAGGCATCAAAATACGTGTAAGCTGGAGCACACTGGTGTTACTGCTTGTATTAGGTGGCTGTTAATTCCTTCCATGGAGTATGATCCTCTGCAGATGACAGAAAGTCATTTTCCCTTACTTAGAGGCTTGCGGTTGAATAGTTTGGTTTGGACAGAGGTGGTCCACATAGTTTGATAGTTTCCACAGTGTTCTTGTGACGCATGCATATGAGTGAGATGTCTGACCGACGTCATCAGATATACAGGTAAATCTACAGATGGAGGGAGGCTTGTGTAATCTGTTAGTGTAATTTCCACGCTCTAAGGAAAGACAAGCTTAACATACCATTGGATATAATACCTATATATGATACAATATCAATTTACCAACTGCCATGTCCTCGTAAAAAAAACAGTCTACAGTGACTCTTCTGTTTCTGGGGTTCACTGTGAAACAAGCATATACATATGTTCTAGCTGACATCTATAATGCCCTGTCCCCAGCCATGAACCTGTGCAAATATATTCTGCCAACACCCCTCCCTCACCATCCTTAACGTGCTTAATTTCTTAGAGCGGCATTTAGAACTTGGTGTGATGAAAGACGGGGAAAGTTCTATAGATATACATCTTCTTACGCGATGTAATTGTAAGCGATGTAATTCAAGCTTATGAGATTCATATTCACACACGTACGTGTTTGATTACAAAAAGACCATGATGTAATCAATTGAGCGTTTCTCTGACAAGCTTGTGGGCTTGTTTTGGAGATATTACGTGCGCTTTTCAGACATTTTAGGAAATGAAATTTATGAAAATGTTACGTTCCTGTGGTCTTTCATATTGTTCTCAGTTTATTCATGCTAAATGCCACCATTAGTTTGGCAGCAAGGTTACATGCAAGTTCAGAAATCTAGTAGACACAGGAAAAACGCATAAACAAAATTAGGACATGATTCTGCACGAATTCTTCACTTAAATATATATTATAAAGCCATTTTTGAGTATCTGTTTTGGGATTTATACAGTACGGATGAAAAACTAATCCTAAACGGTATTTTAGAAACATACATTTTGAAAGAAAAGGTGAACAACGGGTAATAATTACGTCAGAATATGTTTTCATCAAATCAATCTTGTTTTTTAAAACAAGATCAAATAATTGAAAAGCAGCAATGTTGGACGGAATCAGTTTTTACAATTAGAATTTAAATAGAAATAGAGTTGTCGTTCTTGTTTGAAGTAGTTCTGATGTTCACAGACCATTATGAAATCCCTCCAGAAGTTCACAGAGTGTTTAAACTGCATCCGAATATCCCTTGTAACTTGAAGGATCAAAATGCTGACATTGTAAGCAATCCTCTAATACTTACCCCACTTAGACCTGAAAACAGTAATTAACTGGTATCAGAAAATGTAATTTTCTGAATAAAATTGATATTTTATACTTATCCTGACTCCTGCTAATTGCTTGTCTCCTTCCTCTTGCGAACGTTAGTGGAACACTTGTATCTTCTATTGAAGCTCCCTTCAATAAAAACAGACTCAGCTCCACCCCTCCCACATGCTTCACTCTCTCCGATTAATGAGCCCGACACTTGAATTTACAGGGAAATCCAAAGTGCTTAGTTGGGCGGTTGGGAGGGCGTACCTCATGAGTCAGGATAAGTATAAAATATCAATTTTATTCAGAAAATTACATATTTTTCCTTATCTTGATTCATGCTTATTGCTTGTAGAATCCGTCGGATTGGAGGCGGGTCAAGCTACCTCTGGATTTCATGTAGTGATTTACGTCTTGTATACCCCCCTATGGGAACTTCTGTTGGCACTTCTAAGTTACTGCTAGGCTCTGCTCCTGCTGCTACCCTGTACTTCCAGCTGTCTCTGACAGGGGGACCACAATTGTTAACGTTTTGGTCCACGCTTCTGTTAACATTTTATGTGGATTTTGCGACTCCATCCCTTGATGCAAGCATCAAGTGGAGAAGCGACCCTTTCCTGTACGAGTATCCTTACAAGTACTGGGTCATATCACTTTATGCTAGTCTGTCCTTAGACGTGCATATAGACTCTAAAGCTGAACTCTTCCGAGTGTAGGCTTTTGCAAGTCATGTGATAAAAAGGGCGAGACTTCGTCTCAGCGCCTTTGAGGGACTGTCAACTGTTGTGCAACAACCAGTAGGCCGAAATGGTGAATGCCGGAGACGTCCTCGGTGGCGATGTCCCTCAGGTAATGGTTGGCAAACACCATGTTCAATTTCCAAAAGCAGCCCTCCATTATCGTCCTGATAGAGCACTTCCCATGTAGAGCGAGTGTTGACGTTAGAGCTCTAACTTCGTGTGAGTTGGAGGCTCTTGGAGGATCTAGTCCTGCTGCTTTGTAGGCCCGTAGTATGGCAGTTCTGATCCACATCGATATCGTAGTGCGGAGACCTCCGTCTGCGTCGCTGTCGATATCGGGACGAAAAGACGCTTGAATTTCCGTCTCCTGGTTCTGGATCGTTGTAGGTAGATTTTCAATGCTCTGACTTGGCACAAGGATAGGTCCTGCGTATCCTGTGGTCCAAGGACTGTTGATAGTGCTGGGACGTGGAATAATCTGTCCGGTTGACCTGGCAGTTGATTCTTCGCGATGAAGTCCCATCTCAGTCCCATATGCACGGTGTTTTGATTATCATCAAAGCGTGTTCTCTCGAAGTCCAGAGCATGTATTTCCGACATCCGTGCTGCTGTTGCTAAGGCGATCAGGAACAGCGTCTTCTGCGTCAAGAACTCGAAGGATGTCCTGTCCAATGGTTCATAGACGTCACTGGTGAGATGTCGGAGAACTACGTTGGAGCTCACGCGGGAGCTTTGAATCTCTGTTGTTGGTCCTCCAATTTAAAAGAGCGAAGTATGGCCAGTAACTCTGGTACTTTCGTCAATTTTGCACCCAACCTCATAGTGATGACTGAGCTCGATGCCGCCAGGTATGTTGAGAGCGTAGACCCTTTTAACCGCCTCGTTTGTTGTAGGTGACAAAGGTAGTCCGCCACTTGCGGGTGTGTCGCCTTAATGGCTGTAAAGCCGTTCCTCCCAGCATAGACCTCGACCCGGAGCCACTTGTCGTCGTACAAGGTGCGTGTAGACTTGCATAGAACTAGTGTGTCTGCTTTCTCTGCAATACACATGTAGCCAGAACACCTCTGGGTTGCCGTGCGCCTGCTTTGTGTGAGGATGTACTAGTACATTCGTCCACTCTGGTAGTTGCAGTTGGGGTTGTCCGAATTCTTGTGTGAGAATGGGGAACCAAACTCTTGCTGGCCAGTATGGCGCAACCAAAATCAGTTGTAAGTCCTTCGTCTGACTGATTTTCTGCAACACCCTTGGTATTGGAGCTGGTGGTGGAAACGCGTACGCGTTTAGTCCTTCCCAGGATATGTTTAGAGCGTCCGTTGCCCATGCTCGTGGATCTGGTATTGGTGAGACGAATGTTATCAGTTGATTGTTGAACCTTGTGGCGAAGAGGTCTATGAGTGGTGCTCCCATCTCTTGTATGATCTGCTTGAAGATCTCTGGATGTAACATTCATTCTGTTGAGGATGGCTGCGTGGGACGAGAGAGTGCGTCTGCTATCACATTCTTGGCTCCCGGAATGTGGTACGCTCTTAAGTGGATGCTCAGGTTGTCGGTTGTCTGAACAGTTGAAAGCAGAGGTCTAGGAGATTCGTCGATCTCATCGATCCTTGCCTGTTGATGTAAAAAGCCACCGTGGAGTTGTCCGTATGCACCATCAGATGAGCATTCTCCAGAATGTTTGTCCAATGGAGTATGGCGTTGAGTACTGCTTTCATTTCCAGCATGTTGATGTGCAGATCCGTCTCCTCTTTGGTCCATCTCCCAGCGAACACTTCATCGTCGAGGTGTGCTCCCCAACCTTGGAGTGATGCATCCACGGAGAGGTGCGTTGTGCACTCCAGCTCTGCTAAGTAGGTGCCTCCTCAAACATTCGATCTCTGGGTCCACCATAGGAGATATGGGCGTAGTGCGTCCGGGAGTCCGAAGGGTTCCGGGTCGTCCAGATGAGTATTGACGAAGACCTGTAGTGGGTGTAGTTGTAGTCCCTCTGGCTGTCATGTCTTGGGCTGACATGAGGAGACCCAACATACTCTGCCATTGTCGTAGTGGCCACGGAGAGAGTAGAGCTTGCGAGATCGTCTGTTGTATCTTGAGCCATCGGTCCTCTGGTACCATTATGCGGTTTTGTGTTGTGATGAACCGGATTCCTAGGAACTGCAGGTCCTGTGTAAGTTCTAGGTACAACTTGAGGAGATTCACTAGCCACCCCAGTTGTGTAAGCAGTCTGATGGTGAAGTTCAGTTGTAGTCTGAGATGCTTGGGATCTTGATGTACTTGAATCCCGTCGTCTAGGTAGAAAGCACTGCGTGGACCTCGATGATGTAGGTATGTGACTATGGGCTTCGTCACCCTCGTAAACAACAAGGGGACCGATGATATTCCAAATGGCAGGACCTCCCATTGGTACTGTCATCCGTCCATTATAAACCTCAGGTACTTCCTTGAGTCTGGATGTACATGAATATGCAGGTAGGTGTCCTGTAGATCTATGCTGGCCATGTAGTCTATCGGACGAACGAGATGTAGGAGTTGTGTTAGATGTATCATGCTGAACTTTGGAGGTCTGCGTAGATAATCTCTGTTGAAGGCCCTCATGTTGTAGATGAGACGGAACTTCTCTTTGGAGTTTTTCTTTGGTACTGGGAAAACTGGGGAGCAGAATCCTGGTGAGAGCTGGTCCTGGTCCACCACTTCTATGGCTTCCTTCTGTAGCCGAGATGTGACCGCTTCTCTTAACCTTTCTGTCGAGTGGGCCGTGAAGTTGAATTTGTGAGGTTCGTCTGTCAACGGCGGAGCTGCTTGCAGTTGTATGCGATATCCGTATCTTAGGATGCTGGATACAAAAGGACCTTGAAGCATTCCCCAGTTTTCCCAGTAGGGTTGTAGACGTCCACCCACTTGTGAAGGTTGCACAGGAACGGCTGGGGGTGGAAGACTCCAGTCGTTCCGAACCCCTCCTTCATCGTTTCTGATCCTTGGCGCCTCTGGGTGCCCCGCCTTGCCCGGGTCGTCCTCTAAATTTGCCGGCTGGGCGACGAAAGAAGTCCTTCCTTCCTCTGAAGGTGCTCATTTTCTTGTCTCTTGCCTTCTGGATGCCAGCGAACTTGGACTTGCCCGAGTAGCGATGGGACGTCTGCCTGATGATACTGGCCAATGTGTCGATGGACCTGATCATAAGGACTTCTCTGGAGTCTTTGGTAACCTCTTTGGCGACGTCGTCAATCTGGCCTGCGAAGATGGATGATGACGACCATGGGGCAGTGTATAGCGACTTCGTGAAGCGTTCACTCCAGTTGCAGGATGCCAGGAGTCCTTGTCGTCTCGCCAAAGTCAACGCTGCTGAGATGGATGATAGATGGTCCGTCATAAACTGCTGGTCCTTCTTCTGCATAAGTAGAGCAGAGTAGATCATCCGGTCCTCCTCTGCGGTAGAGTCCTTGAACTTGTTGATGAGCGTCTCATTCACTGCCCTGGATCTGTTCAAGCTGAAGAACATCCTTCTAGACATCGTCTCTATCTGCACCAGCTTTTTGTGTCGTCAATCTTATAAGACTTGGTTCGGGCGTCGTTGATGACTTTGTAGTTATCATCTATCTCTTGAGCCTTCATGAAGGGGTCCATATTGTGTAGAGAGAACTTCTTAGCGTTGAATTGTGGTAGATTCGGTGCCTGGGATCTCGTTGCCTTCCTGAAGGCTGCGTCCAAGTTCTCTGGAACTTCCGAGATGGGATCAATTGGCAGTAGAGTGATCGTGTCGACGTCCTCATCCTTCATGAGATACGTGAGGGCTGAATTCACTTCCTTGGAAGGTGACGCTAATTCCAGACCGTTGGCCATCCAATATCTTATCTCTGCATCTGAGAAGATGATACCGCCTTCCTCCTCTGTGTCAGGGACGCTGACCTGGGATCGTTGATCAACCTCCGCTGGGGATCTGGATGGAGACCTGTGCGGAGACCTGCGCGGAGACCTGTGTGGAGGCCTGCGTGGGGACCTGCGTGGAGACTTGTGTGGAGACCTGCGTGGAGACCTGCGAGGAGACCTGCGCGGTGACCTTCGTGGAGACCTGCGTGGAGACCTGCGTGGAGATGAGCCAGGTGAGCTGCGTCTGTAGGACGACCGCCTTGGAGACCTGCGTGAAGGCGAGCGTGCCTTGGTCCGTGAATGCCTCGGTGAAGATGTTGATGACGTCCTTGAGGTTGCCTCTGAAGACCTCCGTGAGTGCCTTCGCGAAGGCTGTTCATCTGCGTTGTCAGTGGAAGGCCTCTCAGATGTGTCGTCGGCGGAGGGTCCTCTGAGCAGGTCCCGGTCCTCTCTGTGGGTGGTGTCCAGGGGTGGGTGTCGATCTCTTTCTTGCTCGAAGCGTCTCTCCATCATCTCCATTTTCTGCTGTGAAAATTGCTGCATAAAGGCCCCAGGGTCGAATGTCTGCGGTGATAGATGCGCTGCCCTCTCTGCGTTGGTGGTGATCTGGTCCAGGGATCTCTCATCTGCCCTCAGTGAAGATACCTCAGACTGCGTTGATAACTGTGCTGAAGTCACCGTTTCTGAGGCCTGCGTCTTCTTGGGGTGATGTACCTCCGGGATGATGAGCGGCAGCTCATCGTAGAGACCTCTTTCTTCCATAGGGACAATCTCAGCCGAGAAAGTCCGGACCAACTGCGACGACGTCCCTGTAGAGCTGCCCGTGGTCTTAGGGGTGTGAGGCCGTGTCTGCGTAGAGGATGGTTTGCTCTTTTGACCTTGTGAGGAAGGGATGTCCGAAGTGGCAGCTCTCTTCTTCAGAGTGGCGGACAACGTCCCGCGCCCATCCCCTGAAGACGTCTCCGGCGGCTCACTGGAAGGAGGAGGGTCGTCTGACATCAGTTGACACGCGAGGGACTCAGCCGGTTTATCCATGACAAAGAGCGTATATGTACTTAATAACTTTAATAACATATTAATATACTTACATTTGGGGAACTATGTTGTATAAGCGTATATGTACTTAATAACTTTAATAACGTATTAATATACTTACATTTTGGGAACCACGTTGTATGAGCCTATATGTACTTAATAACTTTAATAACATATTAATATACTCACATTTTGGGAACCACGTTGTATAAGCGTTTAGGTACTTAATAACTTTAATAACATATTAATATATTTACTTTTTGGGAACCATCTTGTATGAGCGTATATGTGCTTAATAACTTTAATAACATATTAATATACTTACATTTTGGGAACCACGTTGTATGAGCCTATATGTACTTAATAACTTTAATAACATATTAATATACTTACATTTGGGGAACCACGTTGTATGAGCGTATATGTACTTAATAACTTTAATAACATATTAATATACTTACATTTGGGGAACCATGTTGTATGAGCCTATATGTACTTAATAACTTTAATAACATATTAATATACTTACATTTGGGGAACCATGTTGTATGAGCCTATATGTACTTAAGAACTTTAATAACATGTTAATATACTTACATTTGGGGAACCACGTTGTATGAGCCTATATGTACTTAATAACTTTAATAACATATTAATATACTTACATTTTGGGAACCATGTTGTATGAGCCTATATGTACTTAATAACTTTAATAACATATTAATATACTTACATTTGGGGAACCATGTTGTATGAGCCTATATGTACTTAATAACTTTAATAACATGTTAATATACTTACAAACTCTTATGAATTTCGTGCTGACACGCCAATGTCGATCAAGCGTTTGTCATCATGTGCACCTGAACATGGCCAGGGAACATTTGAAAGTGACACGTGTTGTGACATCCTTTTCTTATATATACTTGAGAACAACTGAGTAAAATGTCACCATACCTTCCCCCTCTGCAGCAGCACACAGCGACGAGAGCGATGAACATGACGTTGTTGATGATTAGTATGACGAGAACAGTGTAAAGTATTGCGAGTAGTGTTTCTTGGCGGTCCTGCATTTTGAAACTGTATTCTGTAAAATAGTGTATATCATAACAATGCCACTTACTGCCAGAATACGGAATGCGCAACGGTTTCACCAGTTAAGTGAAAACTATAGCTAATGCCATGTTGATCTTTATACCAATAACACGAAATGAATCACTGCCCTGTTCCTTGTTCAGCTCACATTACATATTTAGTTGAACCACTTCACAAAAAATACTATGAATAGTGCATATTTTTATACCAGTTAAATTTTATTGACACTCCATGAAGCAGGGATGCAGAATCATTTGTTTTATCATGTCAGTTCAACAACATGGTTCATCTCGATACGTTAAGATGAAAAAGATCACAGAATTGCAAATATTTCTCTGAACACTGTTTAATGGGCGGATGGCAATAATCTACCTGTCAAAATCATCTTTGTCTATCGTTTTGCTATGTTTTATGTAAAGCATGCGCAGTTACTAGAATTTGTTACCAGTCTTCAGTGTGGCTCACTTCAGGTTGAGTGTGCAGTGACATGGCAATTTCCCAATCTATTATCACTTAAAACATTGTATCACCTGGAGAGACTGTGTGAGACTACGTAATTCAAGTATGTATATTATAACTAACACAGAATGCATTATTTTAATTCAAGTAAATTTGTCCAAAATGTAAAAAACCCGAAGGAATGTTTTCAATCCAGTTGGGGACCATGCAGTTTGTAAATGCACAGTTTTCCTGAAAAATGAGGACTATTTTTATGGATATACAACTTCTTTATTCTATGTAGGCGACTTTTCGACATATATTCTAATGTCGTTGGAATCTATGTCGAAACGTCGCCTAAATAGAATAAAGAAGTTGTATATCCATAAAAATAGTCCTCATTCTTCATCTACCCAACTTCTAGAATGCCAATCACAGAAGTCACAGTTTTCCTATCCATTTAGTTAGTGGCTTGCATCGACTTGAAATGTTTGTCATTGCCACAGAAACAAATAGTTTTACTAAACAGTTGGCAGCTTCACTTTACACAGCAGTAGCTTATTTCAACTATGCTTTGTTTCCAAACATGGCGAAGTACGTACTTAGTTATCTCCCCTTCATTGTCCATGACAATGTACTTGCAATGGGGATTCAGTATCCACTAACTCGATGCAGCTTTACTAAATTATATATCATCATCAACCTTACATGTAGGTGGGAAATGGCCTCAAAGGGTATCCCGGTGACAACTTTATTTTGAAACGCCATAGCAGCCCCAGTTAAGTCAGTGTGATGGTTTAGCATGGATCGAAAAACTACCTCGTGACGTTAAGTGGAATAAACAAAGAGACAGTTTTGTGTGATAGTAAACTGACGAATTAAGTTGCATGTATCCGGAGCTCAATTTGCTTCCACTGGTGTGACGGGAAAAGGCAACAGCATGATGACTCAGATCAAGGGGATTATATTGATACAACCTACTGACTCTCGCCTCCGTCTGTGAAGACCTAATACATGCAGTTCATCCAAATATAACCATACACATTCTCCGCCATATGTTTTACACTAACGCCGTCAAACATTTGAAATACCACGAACATACAAACTAATTATACTATTCACTTTGATTCACTTTGAGGTTCCTAAAATTCTTGTATACACACTATCCTACATACAGTATGGCTTCTGTGTTATATTCCATACACAATATAGAACTTACATTGATTCACTCTGACGTACGACATATATAAAATACTACTCACGCTGAGGTTCAGGGTAAGACTGCCTGCTTATAGAAATTACATTGATTTACTCTGACGTACGACATATATAAAACATCACTCACGCTGAGATTCAGGGTAGGACTGACTGCTGCAAACCTTGCATCCCGACCTGCACGTGTAGAACGTTTCTTCCTCTGCTGTCAGACACGAAGGGCACAGATGTTGACATTTGTCACCGAAATGTCCGGGTTGACAGTGTTGACATTGACCAGTAAACCTATGACATGACTGAAAGACGGACAGACATGACATATTGCATTGGGCGCCATAACGACCTGCTATACACTCTTCTAAACAGGTTTCTTCAACACTACAGGCAAAGCCCTGACATTTCTGCAAGCAGGAGTATTCACACTTACTACCGTACAAATCAGCCCTGCACAGAGTACAGTTCTCACAGTGATACCAGTCACACGCCAGACATCCATCAGGACAAGGTATTTTACAACGAGGTCCACAGTAGCCATCCTCACAGCCGTCACTACAGATGGTCTTCCCTGAGTTGGGGTCCACCTCACATGTCAAGTTGACACACGTCTCCTGACAGTGATGCTGACAGTACTTGTCTGTGTAGCCTGTCTTACATCCTTCTGTGCAAATTCCTCGTGTATCACATTTCTCCCCTTTACAGTTCTGGCAGGACTTAGATCCAAGCAGGGGGCTGAAGTAAACTGAAAACAGAAACGTTGTGAATGACCTAATCTCTATTACTGACAGAGCAGAACACTTCCCTACAAAGACATACATATATCACTACAGTGAGTGAGTGAATGGGTGAGTGGGTGAGTGAGTTAAAATCTTAAGTCTCGTCGGCAGTATGTCAGCCTTATCGTGACTAAAACAAGTTATAGATTCATAATAAAGTCAAACTGTGAAACCCTGTCAACGAAGGACAGTAAAATAACTAGACGATACGACATAGATATAAAACTAAATCTAACATTTTGTAACTATAGAAGACAATACAATATACAAACGGACAGGTTCTTGCCAAAGTATTCGAAACGTCGACGTGTAATGATATAATGGGAGTCTTGTTATGACACAGAATGTCTGTCTGTAAAAAGATTTCTTGTTACTAGATCCAGTCAAAGTCCTATTTTTCTGAGACAGATAAGGCATATGATACACATTATTTAGTCACCAATCACCGAGAGCTAAAGAGAGGTTGTGGGAACGTACCTATGATTAGGAAGCTGTAACTCAACCCGAGCTGCATATTGGTTGTTCTAAAACAAACAGGAAATATAGTGAGTTCATTTTCGGAACGATTCTGTTTAATTGAAACATAGACTAACACATATTCTTTGGCAGTCAAAAAGGGAATATCTCTTATCATACTTCTCATTACTGTTTTTCCAATTCGGTTGAATAATTTACAACGAAGGGCACTTAACACTATCTAAACAACACATTGTAATTCCAGCTATGCTTTCAATCTTGAGCAAATTGATAACTGTTGTTTTGTCGTTTGGATTGGAAGTATAACGTTTTTTGAGCATGTATCTATGACATACATTTATGTACATATTTAACATCACCTGTTATGTCCAACATACCTGCTACTGGTCATGTGTCGTAAATCTAATTCAGTTGTGGCTATCTACAACAAAGCAAATATCATAAATGTTTCCTGAATTGCTTTTATGAAGTCTTCGTTACTGTGCGGACGAGCCACTTGAAGACTTCACACAGTCTTTGTCAAACATTAACCATAGTCCTGAATGAAGGACAATACGTACTGCAACATACGGAAACAATACAATGTGGATTGTTTGAATTAACATTACCTCAAAAGAACCAACTTCAATATCGTAAATTTCAATCACGTATACCACTACTCTGCATGAAAAAAACCCATGAATTCCTTGATACATTTGTTTGTAAACGCTGTTAGCACTGATATGGTTAAATATCTATATTCAGAGGTTCTGGACAATGTTTCAAGCATCAAATCAAATGTCACCCTATGTTTAATGAGAAAGCAGTAAGGAAAACAGGAGTTAATCATAGATAGCATCATTTTAAAATTGACACGACGTTGGCACACTCATGGGGACCAGTTGTGCTGTCATCCGTGAAGATATGTATGTTTAAGCTTATGAATTTGAAGAATGATGACAATTTTTATGGATATGCAACTTCTTTTATTCTGTGAAGGCGACGTTTCAACATAGATTCTAATGTCGTTATCATTTGCTTAGAATCTATGTCGAAACGTCGCCTTTACAGAACAAAAGAAGTTGTATATCCATACAAATTGTCATCATTCTTCATCAACTCAACTTCTAAAATGCCCATCAAAGAAGCTTATGATTTTGGCCAAGAAATTGAGCTTAAGCTTCAGTTTTTACCAGGAGCTGATATCGTTCAGTGACCATCAACTGGCCAATTCAGCATCCACTGATATAAGTACCAGAAATAGAGGAAGAGAGACAAGTCAACTCTTTCATATTGGATCTGTGCATAAGGATTCAGAGTGGAAAATCATTGTCACCAAGGCAACTTCTCTATGGTCAGCTTTTTCCTTTTTTGTCGAGATTCAAGGCTACAGTAAAGGCATCAAAATGGAGAGCATCATTTCCAATGATTAACAAACACGAGTACATGATATAGCAGTTCACTGAGATTTCATGTGAATGTTTAGATGCTTTTACTAAAACACTCAACATACCTGCTGAATCAATGTCCATTAACCCACTGATTTCTGGCGGGTGTGTCTGTGGGGTTCCTCCTGGAATAGACATGATACGAAATATTACCATTACGATCATGCTTTGTTAAGATATTCCATAAGAAGGAAAAACAGTTAGTTATTAATCATTAAATAAAGTTTTTCTTTTTCTTTACGAATTGGAAAAGACTCCTAAATATAAGCGCAATCACTATTTCAGCTAAAGGCAGATACCTGTGTTGCTTTGATAGCTTATGAACATCTGTTGACATACTAGTATGTGTATTTGGTCATGGATCATATGAAATCATCTTTAACCTCGTCAAAATATGTGATGATAGGTCATCTTATGTCATGTTCTTCGTCGTTTAGTTTTAGTTTGAGAGAGACAAAATCCACTTTTATGTGAACAGTATTTTGGGGTATTCATCGATAATGTTCAATGACACAAACATTTTGCTGAGGAAAAAGGATGCCAAACTTGAACATATTCCTATCGTGGGTACAATGTGTGAAGCCCATTTCCGCTGTCCTCCGCCGTGATATTGCTGAAATATTGCTGAAATATTGCTAAACGCGGCGTAAAACCGTACTCACTCACTATTCCTATCGTCTTACGTTTCCGATCGTCATATGTTTTCGACCCACCACAACGATTCCCGTTTATAGCGCATGTATGCGAGAGAATCCATGAGAAGCAGCCCGAATGTCAATAAGGCGATCCCCTCTATCGGTCTGACATCAATATGCTGGTAATAAAGACTCTAACAGTTAACAAAAGTTAATTTAACTCATTAATCCAATATCTATCTCATAATCAAATGCTTTATATTCCTCAATCTGTTCTCCAAAGATGCTAATAATATTAATGTTTCGTCTGCTTAGTTAACATCATACCTTAAAAGATCACGTAACTAGTCATGTGACCACGCTGAATGATGTATCATGTCACGCCAAATTCGCAAATTTTATTACTTCGTTTAAAACAAAAACTAGTGCCGTTTAATTTATTTTGTTTACACAAGGTGATGAACGCAAGAAAGACCAGTTAAAGGCAATGTAATCTACATAATGTGCATAGGGTTGTAGTTGGACAGGAATGCCAACATTAAGCCTAATGCTTGGACTTTCTGAATCATATTCTCCTCTACACGATAGATTAAATCGGAAATCTACTTCTGTTGGGGATATGTTTTCAGCTACAGTTAAAACTGTTTTGGAGATATAGGGAAATTGTTTATTATCTGTACAGTATGACGCATTTTGCTGTGTAGTGCGAGTTGTTTTGATACAACGGGCATGCTCTACTCTTTCAACAGCCCTAAATATATACAGCCAACTAAGGGGATCGAAAACATGTGGCGTCACGTCCGGCGATGCCTTGCGTTTGCTTCAACTGCAATGTTGGGATGCCGACAGAAAACGCATTGCATGCATAAGAATGCAATAGTTTATGAATATATTATCTTGTCTAAAGGGGAGTAGAACGATATCGTCATATAGTATTTACTTTTTGTTCTCGAAATATTTTACCGTTATCCGATCGAAAACCCAATATGCCAGGATATCTATTTGGAACATGAGATATTCAATATGTGTGGATGTATATTGATGTGTTGTTAAGGAGATATTAACAGTCTGCTTGTCTGACAACACCACCACTGATTGGACCATTTCTTGTCAATATATAAACTGAATTGATGTTTTCAAAACACGTCAATCATACATTGATATCATTGTAGCAAAGAAACGTCTCTTTCCTGCTTAATACAAAAATATAATTCTACATCCTTTTGGATCAAATATACCTCAAACTACACAAAAAATAATTTCAGGGAATATGTCGAAAATATGGTCTATTTTTTATTTCACAGTGCTTATGTATAAACCCATGGAAAATTCAGTGATCGTGCATAATTATACATATGACATTATACATAATGACTAACAATTTTAAGGATTATAGGTAATCTCTTGTTTTACATTATTGTATGAACATATATCTTTGTGTGTGTGTGTTTGTGCGCGCGCCGTGAGTGTGTGTGTGCGCCGTGTGTGTGTGTGTGTGTGTGTGTCGTGTGTGTGTGTGTGTGTGTGTGTGTGCGTGTGTGTGCTGCCGCTGCTGAATCTCGCCTGGTTAACCTAATACATTTCCTAATGTGTTTCTTAGCTTACCGTGTTTATTGTCGAAAAACTTCAACTTGACGAAAAGACCACTGAAAATAAACGAAATCACATATTACAGCTAAAGACACAAGCTTTTCAAACTTATAAACATCTGTTCAGTATGTGCTTATGTATTTGGTCATGGATCATGTGGAAATATATGATAATGTCATAATGATATGAAATGATCGGTGATGATCTAACGTCATATTGGCTTTCTATTTGCATGAGAGACACGTAATCCTTTCATGGACTAAAACATTTGACTGGCCAAAAAGGACACATAACTCGGGCATATTTTATGCATTTCATCAATTGGAACACATGGTGTATTTGGGATACAGCACTACACTTTGACCAATACTTTCTGAATGGCATTGTATATTCATGATGTATATCTGGGGGGATTTCGGTGTCAATGAAACATATACGACTCACATGAAGACAATTGCAGTAGTTCCTGTTATCGCCAAGGAGATGCTCAGTGCCAAGATAGTGCTGTAGTGACTGCCGTTCTCACATCGACAGGGAACTATTGACCACGCATTATGAAACAATCCGTCATTCATTTGTTAGCAAACAGTTGTTCAAGACAATGATATGGGGGTTATTTGTTGGTTAACCTCCTGATCGGTCTGAATTTGTCTCTCAGGTGAAATGTCTCTCTATAATATACACTTGGATTTTTCAAATGAACTTTCAGACAATGATACTTAATCTCTTTGCATTTTGGCAATTCGAAATGACCAATGAACATAGCAAACTGGGAGTCATGCAACCATGTGGGTAATTCGATAATTATGACTGTCCCGCTTCAGTGTGGAAATCGAGCTTTCTATCAATCTCTCATTTAAACTCATTCTGTGTTTTACTGATCAAAAACATTAATAAAGTCATACACTTTCAATTCAAAGCAATTTTACATATAACAGAGTGTAGCAGTGACGTTTCATCTGCCTCAATAAGACCATACCTCGTGATGTCTGGCGGTTGCCATTACATTCTGAGAGCTGAACGTGAGTCGAGCCAGAGTTGTCACCAGGTAAGTTACAATTGGTTGTAAAAATTATTTATACGGCTGACAGGTTTTAACATCTCAGTAAATGTATATAAACTAAAGTTGTAGGCAAAATATTATTTATTGTTGGCATTTCGAATATGTAAATACTACGTTTTGCTAATCTGGTTTTAACTGTAAAGTCCTTATGTCTGAAGTTCATTGCTTTTATCAGCATGTTGTTTCTTGTACATGTATCAAGTGTGATTGATGTGCGCACTGTAATAGTGACTGAGAGGTGTCATGTGTGTGCTTGTTGAGCGCTCAGTATACTTCCACATGTGTCAGAGATTCAGTCACGTGTGGCCGTCGAGTATTAAGAAGTCGTTTGTCCAATAGACGGGTGAGCAAATTCTGAATATAATGTAAAACATGTACATTTCTTTCTCATGTATAGGATATAGCTAATATGTATACATTCCTACTTTTAAACTCTGTATTATTATACAAATGAAACAACCAAAATTATTGGTTATTGTTCCAATCCACCATAGATCAAAATGAATATATGGGACCATGTTTCCTCCGTCCGTCTCTAGTACTTCATTTCCAAACATGGTTAGACCTTTGATAGGAAATGTCATATACTGGAGATGAAAGTACCGTATTTGCGATGCGAGTACCGATCTTTAATAGAAGCGAGTCTTTAACAGACGGAGGTATGGTCATCGTGATGCTCTTGAAATCAGCTTCACTCCCACCTTCACATGTCCCTCTCATTATATTTACTCAGGTGCCTCCAACGTTGCCTGTATAGAGGCTTTTCGTGTTTCCGTTGTCACTGTCTAGTGGGGCTTGGAGCGGAGTAGACGAATTTGTTCTCCTTATTGAGGCATCTGGGTGTTATTATACCTTAGTCGTATTGTGAGTTTCAAAACTGGTTCGTGTTGCAAGCACAAACACTGAAAGTGTTGACGTAAATCCTGCTTGAAATCATGCAGGACTTGGAAGTACTGTAAAACCCCATGGTCCCACTAAGGTGGTCGAGCAACGGTTGCTTGTGGACTGTTGCCAAAACGGCAGTTTTGTTTCATATTAAATGATCTGTCGTTTTAACATCAATGTGGTTTATTTTTTGGGGAAACTGTATTGCTTCCCGTGCTGTTTTCCCATCGTTCATAGAAGGGCATTACGAAAGTAACTTTGTTCTCATGACAATATCAACACCAACCTTGGGATATCATATAAGGTAAGAAAGTAACTTTGTTCTCATGACAATATCAACACCAACCTTGGGATATCATATAAAGTAAGAAAGTAATTATAACTATGTTCCCATGACAATATCAACACCAACCTTGGGATATCACATAAAGTAAGGGTAACTCTGTTCTCATGACAATATCAACACCAACCTTGGGATATCATATAAAGTAAGAAAGTAACTCTGTTCTCATGACAATATCAACACCAACATTGGGATATCAAATAGGGTAAGAAAGTAACCCTGTTCTCATGACAATATCACCACCAACATTGGGATGTCATGTAAGGTAACAAAGTAACTTTGTTCTCATGACAATATCAACACCAACCTTGGGATATCATATAAAGTAAGAAAGCAACTTTGTTCTCATGACAATATCAAAACCAACCTTGGGATGTCATATAAAGTAAGAAAGTAACTTTGTTCTCATGACAATATCAACACCAACCTTGGGATATCATATAAAGTAAGAAAGTAACTCTGTTCTCATGACAATATCAACACCAACCTTGGGATATCATGTAAGGTAAGATCACCATCTCGTGATGATGATTTTTTACTTCGTGTTAACATGCTAAACGTTTAGTTTTACTGGGCTGTCTTTAAAACAGATGAGTGATGTTGTGTGTCAATAGTAGGGTATACTTACCCTTGCTGTCGTTGCTATTGTACAGTGGGGCAGTGATGTTACAGTAGTCCCCTGTAAAGTTTCCTGGACAGTCCTTAGTGCAGTGACCGTTGTGTTGATTACAGATGTGATTGACACAGGTCTTACTACAAGGCTGATCACATTGATTACCGTGCCACCCCCGAATGCAGCCCTCGGAACACTCTCCGTCAGTTTTTACACAGTGTTTAGCTGCCAGATGAAGAGCACAGTGGCAGGAACAGTTTCTTTTACAATCTGGACCGAACTGTCCCGGCTGGCAGTTTATGGTAGCGGTAATAAGAACAACTGCAACGAAAACAAGTTGCCATGTTTATGATCATTTGCTACCTGTTAGAACATAACTGCATGTATCAGTGTTTGAGAACGGTCGCTCCCAAAATTGCTATATTACCGATCTTGCAGTCATTACTGTCATATATATACGTTACATAATGATGGAGTGACGGTTAATCCTTGAAGCTGTTGTTATACCCACTGTTAAGAGCAAAGATTGTCACAAGGGTACAATGCATGGTAGCAGCATTTCTCGGTGTCTTCTCTGTCCGTGTCAACTGCAGTGGAAACACAGCGTTAGTCAAGTGCATATATCGGTATAATTTTAACAATGATTAGAAAGACATATTTCCACGCCACACTACTGCGTATGGTGTGTTCACGAAACTTTCTGAGAGTGTGTTCCAACTCAGGATTACAACATCCAAGGTCTCACTAAAGTTATTATAATTTCATAAGTTTTATGGTAGACGTGTCTGGGACATTTTTAATTTGACGCAACAACTAATGTTCAATGCGTCGCTACTTTAACTTGTCAACATGATGCCCCAGCCTTGTTTCAGCTGAACGGTTGACCTGCCTTTTCTTATGTCGAAGTGATAGTGAGCATTATGGGTGAATGTCACAAAGTATGCTTCTGTCGAGATTCAGTAGAGGGCAGATCGAGGAGTGCTAATTACTATGATCATTTTGACTTAAAGTCCAGTGTGTCCTCTTCGCCGAACTGTATTGTTTACAGTGAATGATGTAGATATCCATACAGGGATAGAAATACTTTTTGTTTTAAGTGTGCATTTGGGCACCATGAAAATATTTCAAATGTGCCTTTCAGAAATCGAGTGTGCCCACATGTTTTTAGAATAAACGACAGTAGCAATGATGATGATCTCTTGAAATTTATTGTTAGTACACAACAAATGTAACCTGTTTTCTGTTATCACTGATATGTCTTCTGTCTAAGATGGCCTTCTTATGTTTCATTTGTTCTGCTACCCCAACACTTTCAAAAGCTAAGAAGTTGTGAAAGGTTCACTTATTAAATATGTCTAACATGCTTAATTTCCTTTTCAATAACCAAACTATCAGTACTCCCAACACTCTAAATGGGAAAAAAAACAGATTTCTTTACATCATTAGTCATAATTCCAGTGATTTCCTGGGTGATAAAGTCAATAAATGTTTTCGCTTGTTTGTCATTTGCGCAAGTGTTTTGTTTGGGGGATCAAATGACTAAAGGTGAGTTATGTCTATGAAAAATTAGGCGTGCCATAAGGGCACCGGGAACATATTTACACGTGCCATTGCAATATTTATCGTGCCATGGCACGCTAATATATGGGGTATTTCGAACCCTGTGATAACATATTAATTCACAAATATAGCTTTGAAATATCCTCACATGCATGAACATGCATGTCCCCTGCCATCAGACTGAGATGAGCAAGTCGTGTTTACATCGCTCATGGAAAATGTGAGTTTTGTCGTGATTTGAAAGTGCCAAAACTCTTGAAAATGTACACAGTTGTGTTGTAAGCAACACAAGAATGTGTTGCTAAAGTTGTTTTGTTGAAAAAGTGACTTTGAAAGAAAATGCAGCCTGAAACTGTATTTCTCTATATAATGCTTTAAAGTTTTCCATGATAAACTCTCGGTTTGAGTTAGCGCTTACCACTTGATTGGACCCAACAATGAGCGACGAGGAACACTTGTATAACACCCAGCCCAGCGACTCACAGGACAAAGAGATATACTTGGAGATCAAGCGCAAGTTTGGAAACAAAGACAAAGACTCTTTTCAAACAGGCTTGATTGAAGTATACAGAAATGACCCCACGGAGTTAAACCACATACGAGAAAGTCTATACGACTATGCTAAAGACACTTGCCATGAATTTCCAGCTGGTAAACTCGTATCGAGACGGAAGAAGAGCAATGATAAAGACAGTTTTCTCAACAAATATGCACAAGATGTCTACTATATCTATCATTATTTGGAAGGTGGAATACTGGATCATGTGCTACAGTCGAAGGTACTTAGTTGCGCCAGCGTGAGACACCAAGGAAACCAATCAGTATTTGATGACGATAATGAAGGAAACAACATAGACTAGACAACTGATGACGTCACTACTACACACGGGTGAGAATGACTCAATATCGCTTATTCTCAGCCATGTAATACAGATCAAGCAGTGTGTCTCTCGTGGAAATGAAAATGTTGAAAAGAAGATTCAGGAATTAGAAAAGAAGTTCACAGATGAACTCCTGGCCCTAAAAGAAATAATCTCTGAAAAGGATGCTCTAATAACCAATATAAATATCAAACTGAAGGACTCGGAAGATAGGCGTGCTGAACTTAGAGCTGAACTGAAGCTAATCACTCAAGAAAACAAAAGCTATCGTGACCATATAAAAGAACTTGAAATTGAAATGGTACGCCTAAACTATTCAGTTGATGCAAAACTGAAAACCATTGAAACGAAAATCAACAATATCACCGCAAGATCTAAACATACAAGTGCTACAGAGACCAGAACTACAAGTACTAAGTGTGAAAATCAAGAAAATTCAAAGCAACTTTGAATCTACAGAAACAACGAGAACAGGTTCATGTGTTGTGCCAAGTCCCCCATTTGTGCCCCAGCAAGACAGGACCAAACAACAGGACGTCACATTGCAACATAAAACAGCTGAACCAGTGCGGCAAGCGAGGAACACTACATCTGGTAACAATACCGTCTTAGATCTTACTGATAAGAATTATCAATATGACTTTACGTATACACAGAACAGTAACCAATGCGACCAGTGTGAAATAGAGCCATGGGAAATTGTCAGTTCTGACAAACATAAAGACAAGCTACATAGAGAACGTACGACACAGGGTAAGCCAACTTCCTATCCTATCAAATCACTTGCGAACACTTACAATACTTTAGAAGGAGTTCCAAGGCTGCGGAGTCAAAGGATTGTGCTGTATAACATTAAAGCTGATGATTCATTTGAATGTGTAAAGAACTTAATCTTTGACTATTCACATGAACGCCATGTTCGTATAACGTTTGTGCGACTTTTGAAGAAGAGACAGAACTATAACTACCAGGATACTTATACAGTGCAAGTTAACATTGACTTTGATGATTATGAAGCTGTTGTGTCAGGTAATCCAGAATTCTGGCCAGCGGATATTAGAAGTAAGGACTATGTTCCTAAAAGCAGGATGAGATACTCATATGATCAAGCTGACAACCACAACTTTTAAGGTGACTAGTAGGGTAAATTTAATAAGTAAAGCACCTCATTGAGGAGGTGCTGTCACGTGACCGGAAGTCGGAAGTCGGAAGTTTTAAACCACTATAAAATGACGGTCTTGTGGTCGCACCACCCTCACTCTGATCTGACTTGGCTTATACATCAGTTATATCTGTGCCTTTCAAGTTTCTTCCTATCGTTCCCTACGCAAACGTGGTGCCTCAGGGAGTTTGAACATTTTTCAAGTTGGACAGTTGGACCAATATTCTTTGAGGATAGGTAAGAGTTCTTTTTAAAGTTTATGATTAAATCATTTTTAAATTCATAGATATTAGTCACAGATACCAGTGTTACTTTCCTTGAATGAACATCACTTTCAAGTTAAAAAAACCAAACGTTACATAATACATTTTTACACTATATTTCAGAATATTTCACTTCACATCAACATTGTTTGCTAGACCACATTTATTCCTTTGAGATAATAGAGGAAATGAATCCCTTAGAACGTACTGCACTTCAATCGAACTGGACTTATATTATTCAACATTTGGAAACCTCATATTTTCTCGTTGTTTTGTTTGAAATGGGAATGATAACGTTTGTATGCTACACTGATCAAAGATCTTCATTACAACGTTATGGTAGGATTGAAACCAGTCGAGACTTGATGTGCTTTCCCATCAGACACAGCCATTTCCAGCACATGATAGAAGCCTACAGGAGATCACAACATGATGAGATAGCAGATAGGATCATGCAGTCATTTCAACAGAATAATATATAATAACAAATAAAAGTCAGACATTGTAACTATTGTAACTTCAAACATGTGCATTTTCTGTGTTTATGAAGAACATTTTGTTTGACCTTGAAAGACAAACAATTCTATCTTGTTTCTTTTCAGAAAAAAGTGTTCCACTGACATTGTTTGCTAGACTTTCTGTTAAAAAAAAATAAATAAAAAAATATAAAAAATGTCTAACCCACTAACAAAACCAGTGTATACATGTGAGTTTTGTCAAAAAAGCTATGATTTTAAACGCTCACTGGTTAGACATCAGAGAAACTGCGAACCTTTTTCGCAAAATTATGACTGCGACCTTTGTCAGTCATCATTTACGCGTAGAGATAATTTGCTAAGACACAGGCGAACCCATCGCCAAGACAATACACCAAATGCATCTCCTTGTCAATCCTTCACGTGTCATGCATGTTCAGAAACCTTCCCCACGCTAAAAGCTCTCAACAAACACACAAGACAGTCACATTCAAACCATCAACAAAGTGGTGGAGGGGCAGCTAAACGCAGGAAAGTTAATGGTGATAATCAGCAATCGTGCTCTAGACAAGCATTGAACGGGACTGCGATGGAATTTAATTTTCTGCCACAGGGCCAAGAAGGAAACGATCCTTTCTATTATTTTGTGAAAATTCAGTCTGAAATCGTAGAACATTTGAAAACAGAAATTGAAGCGAAACGATCCATCAAGTGGGCACTTTGTACTCAATTTAAATTCAGCAAAACCAACGCAGATGGTCATACGTCGTATTCTGAGCCCTACTTTAGAACGAAAATGTCACCAGCAACACAAGCTGATGATTTGGATGTGTTGTACACTGAAGCCATGAATACAATAATGCAACTGATGGACAATTACGAAGGCGACAGTTCAAACTTAAATTTCGAAACTGTGTTGAGCGTTAGATAATCCGTGGTCAAATTTCAACCTTTTCGTGGAAGTTCGTATCTCCCCCTCCCCCCTTTCCTTGGAGAAAAAGCGCTCTCTGCTAAACATCAAGAACATGGACGATGACATGTGCTTTGTCTATTGCGTTTTGGCCCACTTGTTTCCCGTTCAACTCCATCTAGTCAGACAACAAGTGAGTCACTATAAGGGTAAAATGCATGAGTTAGATTTGAAAGGGTGTTCATTTCCCATGAGCCTCAATCACATTTCAAAATTTGAAAAAACAAACAATGTAAGTATCAACGTCTATGGTTGTGATGAAGACGAGAATCAACAACAACAAGTCTTTCCTTTACGAGTCAGTTCAGTAAATTCTGACGTACCTACGGATCGTCACATCGACCTCCTTCTGTTAACACAAGAAGTAGAGGAGCAAGGCGAACCCCCACTGTCGCATTATGTTCTGATCACAAGTTTGCCAGGTTTGGTTAGAAAAGCTGGTGAGTGTAACACCAAATTCATTTGTCGAAAATGTTTGTGGACGTTTTCTTCTGAAGACACTTTGGTAAAGCATTTTCCGCACTGTCATCACAAAGCTCAACGAATTAAAATGCCTGAGCCAAACAAAGCATATCGAAAATTTGGATTGGGTCAGTATGGCAAAACGAGTAAAGTGCCCTTTGTGATCTATGCAGATTTCGAGTCCGTCGTGGCTCCTGTAGAACATAATGTGACATCAGGGGGAAGTCGTCATGTGCAAGAGCACCTTCCCTGTGGTTACAGTTATCAAATTGTGTGCAGAGAACTCGACTTGTACACTTTTCCATTGAGAACGTACAGTGGTGAACAGGCGGCTCAACATTTTATGGAACAGGTATTGGGAGATTACGATCACATCATGGACATATTAAACAACCCAGTTCCTATGAAATTGACACAGGAGGAAAAGTCGGCTTTAGATTTGGAGACCCATTGTTATCTTTGCGGAGAAAAAGTGCAGTTCAATGAGAGACACATCGATCATGATCATTTGACAGGTCGAGTCAGGGGTCTGTGTCACAATTATTGCAACGTCAATTATGTGGAATCCACATTTGTAAATGTCATTTGTCACAATGCATCGCGTTATGACAACCATTTGATTCTTCAAGCGGCTGAGTTATTTGCCGATCGCAAATTGACCTGCGTAGGTCAAAATTCTGAAGACTTCATCATGTTTCAAAACTGATCACCTTCGGTTTTTGGATAGTTTCAAATTTTTGAACACCAGCTTGCAACCATTGGCAAACAATTTGAGAAGCAAAGGTCAAGAAGAATTTCTCTATCTGAGGAGAAACTATCCCAAACATGTAGATTTGTTGACTCGGAAATTACCCTATTTCTATGAATACGTGGACAGTTTTGAAAAATTAAACCACATGGAACTTCCGAGTCACGATGACTTTTATTCTTCTCTGTCGGAGGACACGATTTCCGAAGAAGAGTATAGCCTTGCTCGTCATATTTGGGACACTTTCAAAATTACATCGGTGAGAGAATTCATCGAATTGTACGTTGCTGTGGACACTTTGATTTTGACCGATGTGTTCGAAGCATTTCGCAACATGTGTCTAAGCTATTACAAGCTCGATCCATGTCAGTACTTTACTCTCCCGGGGATGGCCATGGACGCGTGTCTCTTGATGACAGGCGTGACCCTTGATCTCATGACTGATCCAGACATGTACAACTTTGTCTCTGATGCAGTGAGAGGAGGAGTGGCTAGTATTAATCATCGTCATGCCCACGCCAACAACAAACGCATGTCCGATTACGATCCAGCCGAGCCTGAATCTCACCTGATGTACTATGATATTAACAATTTGTCCCTCGCTCCCACGGAGGAGCAGCCATGAGTTGTCCTTTACCCCAAGGTGATTTTGAATGGGTAGATGAAACGGAAATAGACGCCATTGACTGGTTGCAACTCGACCCCGATGGTGATGTGGGTTACGTTTTAGAGTGTGATTTAGAATACCTCGTCATCTTCACTCTGTCCATCAATCCTTGCCCCTCGCTCCCACCAAAGAAAGCATTCCCTTTGAAGAATTGTCCCCCTATCAGCGCGATCTGCTCGCAAAATTATATCTGTTGGGGAAGAAGCATGAGAGGAAACCACCCACGGGCACCAAACTGTTTTCCACTCTCAAAGACAAAGAGAATTACATCATTTATTTTGGCACTTTGCAACACTATTTGCGGTTGGGTTTTGAAGCTGCAGAAAGTTCAAAACGTTTTGAAATTTACTCAGTCAAAATGGATGAAACCCTACATCGACTTCAACACCCAAAAGCGCAAAAGAGGCAACAGGCGCTTTTTCGAAAGATTTGTTCAAGTTGCTTTCCAATGCCGTGTATGGAAAACAGTTACAAAATGTCAGAAATTACAAGCACATTGAGTTAATCACCACTGAAGAAAGACTAAGAAAGTTTTCGGCAAAGCCTAATTTCATGAATGTTTTTTCGGAAAATTTGGTTGTGGTAAGCATGGAGAAAGTGTCGGTCACTTTGAACCAACCTGTCACCGTGGGCTTCACCATTTTGGAACATGCTAAGAGACTTCTATACGATTTCCATTACAATGTGATGTTAAAGGAATATGCAAGTGGTCGTGTCAGGGTCTTGATGACAGACACAGACAGTTTGTTTTATCAAATCTGGTCCCCAGTGGGTACTCCTCTCGGCGATCCTCAAGACTTTATGTTAGCTAACCTCCACCTCTTTGATACCTCCAACTATCCCGAAGACCACCCACTTCATTCCATGGAAACACACAAAGTCATTGGTCTGATGAAAGACGAAGTAGGTGGTCAGACTATCAGAGAGTTTGTCGGACTTCGACCCAAAACTATAGTTTCATTTTGACAAAACTTCAGGTGAAAGGGTCGAGAAGAGTACCGCTAAAAGGGGTGCAAGAAACATTCAGAAAAGAAACATCTTCGTCACCACATGTTCAAAGACTGTCTTTTCAAACACAAACAAAACATGGCCACTTATCATCAGATTCCATCCATTCACAACACCCTCTACACGGACAAAGTGACCAAATTGGCTTTAACGATGATAAGCGATACCTGTTGGCAGATGGCATTGAATCTCGACCCTATGGATTTAATCCTATTTAGAACTTTGCAACGCAGTCTTTCTGAAAGAAAGATTTCTAAAATCTCTCACTCATTGGTGCACTAAGTGTCTAGCAAACATGACAATAAGCCCTCCGGTGTTCCTGAACATGTGGGAAAAAACACACTCCAAACCATCTCTGACAAAAACAAAACAAAACACGTATTTCAAAACTTCATTATTATTTTTTAACATTCTAGTTATTAGCTTGTATGATCAAACTCGATCATATATGACAGAAATAACAACTTGTATAAGAGAAACATAAAACTTGCATGACAGAAATGTGTATGACAGAAAGTGAAATGTGTATGACAGTATCTAAAACGTGCATGACAGAAACTGAAATGTGTATGACAGATACTAAAATGTGTTTGACATAAACTGAAATGTGTATGACAGAAACTAAAATGTGTATGACATAAACTGAAATGTATATGACATAAACTAAAATGTGTATGACAGAAACAAAACCTTGTATGAAAAAAATATATTTTGTCATCATAAACAGAACACATGTAAGTAAATAAATACTAATACAGTTTTGCTATTTTTTGTTTCTAGAAACATGATGAGTGGAAATCTTACAAGGCGGTACAGATACAAGGTGACCGGAAGACGTGAAGGACTGATCAGAGAAGGGACAATGTCCAGAAGAAGTCAGCTTGCTGCCTATCTTGCTGGAGCTCGATGCCTTGAGAAGGTTCTTAGAAATCGATTTAGATCATCATTAGCAGCAGTAGCAGAAGACCAGGGTCCCTTTTCTGTCAGTGTTCTGGAAGTTAGTGTTCCTGAACAAAGAGTTTTCAGAAATCATGAACTGCGGCAAAATAGATTGCGATTTGAATCTATTCGGGACGCTCTTTACTTGGATGCACTACAAGTGAAAGTGGATGAACTGTGTAGTAATAACTGTTATGGGTGTGAAATAGATCACCCCTCCCAACGTCATCATCAGTGTCTCATGCTCAGTGGTGAAGAACGTGTCAGTATGTATTTCGATGAAGTATTGTTGACTGTTTCACATGCTACCATCCTTGAGAAAGCAAGAGAACAGAGAACATCCGCTGGACTGGATCTCCATGACATGTACGTTTTGCGTTACGAGAATGAGCTCTACTTGAATGCCTTTTTCTTAACTTCAAGTAGAAAGGAACAAATGGAAGAGAAGTTGAAAGAGAGAATGAAAGAACAATAACATGTGTTCAAGGTGAAATCAAACATGAATTTTCCTGATGATATTTTCATAAATAAAAACAAAAAACATAACATCTGTTTCGTGTTTTTCTTTATCATTTCACTGCCACCCAAAGGACAGCACTGACATCTAGAACAAAATGCTGGGATTCAATAGCCCTTTGCAAACCACTCTTGATCTTTGAACACAGTTGAGGTAAACACCAATACCCCCATACAAACCACTGTGGATAGATGAACAAAAAAAGATATTCACTTCATTACCGACACGGGTGCATGTGAACTGCTATAATAGTGCTCATAGGATTCCATGTTCACAAGTGAAACACAATTCAATTTCATCATTTCTATTTATATGTGAGATTATAAACAGGATGTCACCTACCCAATCAGTTTACTACATTCATTCAAAAATCAACCAATGAATTTAGAACTAATTCCAGACATGATTCATTTCATTTTTAAAATAATACACAAGGACCTACACTTGCTTTCATTCGAGCGACTTATCACCAGGGAGACAAGTTCATGTACAATCTTGTCACCATGTCAACGGAGAAAGCAGAAAGGTTGAGTACTGTTTTATTCCTAAATACTCTCTCCATTCAGTCAACACTATCTTACATGTCTTGAAACATATTTAATTGTGTCGAAGAATATTATTTGCATATAGAGAGCTATAGCCTTCAGCCTTAATATAGGCAGTCTACATAGTTAAAAAGAAAAAAAGGAAATGTCTTATGGTAAGAAATGTCACGACGACTAGAACACAACTGTTCTGGTTTGTTTTTTCTAACAGTAAGTCAGACGACAGGGCGACCTTCTACACTTGGAAGCAAGTGATGAGCGCCTCATTGTGTGAGAAAGAGTCCATCGTTTCACAGTCAAATGATTGGTTCGAGATCGTCGTGCATGTGTTGAGGATGCCAAAGAAAATTTCAGGACGAACACAAAGCTACCCAGCGAGTGATCATAAAAAATCCAGGAAAGGGTCTATGTGTGCAGACAGAAGTAGCCATGGCAAATCAACTAAAACATGCAGAGGGCTTCTGACTTTGTGTTACAGTTTCGAGGTCAGTAAGATCGTGAGAAGATTTTCATTAAGGAACTCTGTTTCGGTTGTATGTTTGATGAAGAACACTTTCACACTTGTCGTGACCTGTCAGAACAGGAGCAAATCGACAAATACTTCAATGCCGCCATGACCAACGATGATCACGTGATTGACAGATGGATGAACTTGTTGACTGATGACTCATCCTTGAGCGCACTCACTGCTTTCAGTTTGATTCCCCTATCAATTGCAAGGATTATCGTGACTCACAGTTTAAAACCATGGAATGGGTTCATGATTTGAAATCGCATGTGCTTAAGATGTTATTTTTGGAAAACAGATTTAAAACAGACAAATGTTGATACAAATGAATCTTCCTGTAAGTAAAAGACTTTCAAAATGATGTATGTCTTATGTGTAGCCAGAGAATGCTTAACAGTCAATAAACTACACACCTATAGTCTTTGCTGTTGTGTTACATTGTGTTATTTATATATATTTACCCATTTCCCATGTTATGTCGCAGTACATCATGAGTTCTCAACAGCAGAACAAGACATCCTTAAAGAAGCACGAAAAAGCATTATCAGACTATTATTTTAATCCCACCAAACCAGGGGCTTATTATGGACCCTCCAAACTGCGTGATGAGTTAAAAGCGAACAGACCACCTGATGTCAAGCTCAGGAAGGTGAAGTGGTTTGTCAAGAACCAAGATGCTTACAGTTTACACAAACCAGTCACGGCATAAATTCCAACGGATGAGAGTGAGGTTAATGTTGTCAATGAGATGTTTGACTTGGACCTTGCCGATCTTTCACTTTGCAACAGCAAAGAGATAGGGCTGTCACGGTATTTGCATTTGTGTTTCCTCTGTCAAACAAAAAGCCGAATCTGTCTTGACAGCTTTCAAACAAATCCCCAAGCAACGGCGTCCTAGGAAAATACGAGTAGATGGTGGAAGAGAATTTAAAGGCGTATTCAAGTCGTTTTTACAAAAACAAAGATAAAACTCACCATAGCTCACAATGAAAACATAAAAGTAATTCATTAAGGAGCGTTTTAACAGAACACTGAAATCCCTGATCACACGGTACATGACCCATAATAACACCAAACGTTATGTGGATGCTCTACCAGATTTAGTGTACAACTACAATCATACCCTGCATTCGTCTTTACCCAAACTCTCTCCGTCACGTGTCGATAAAACCAACGAAGTGAAAGTGTGGAACCATATCTACCTGGAACCTTTGAGAAAAGTCAGCAAACCTAAAATCAAGAAATACTTATTTAAAGTAGGTGATCTGGTTCGCATCTCATACCTCAGGAAACCTTTCAGCAAGGAACTCGACCTCAAGTGGATGGAGGAGCTGTTCAAAGTGGCTCGACGTTACAGGAAACAGGGGTTTCCTCAGTACAAACTTAAAAATTTTCACGATGAACCCTTGATTGGGTCCTTTTACACAAACGAGCTTCAAAGGGTCAGCAAAGCCGCAGATGTGCTCTGGCAAGTTGAGAAAGTGCTCTAGTGCGCTGGGTCGGCTGGCCCAAGTCTTTCAACTCGTCGTGGAAGAACGCGAACTGAAAGAAGTGCAATTGCGTGAAAAAATAAATATGAAGAAGTACGTGTTTCTCAAGAGCTCCCACTCCAAAAAGACATCGTTTCCAGAGAATACGCCCTATCATTTTCGTGTCAAATTAAATCAAAGGTTAGTCTTCGACGGATTCTGGGTGGTGTCTTTAACGGAGAGCTGAACTTTGGAAAGGTGGATCTGACTAAGGTCACAAATTCATACGTAGACGTGTTGTGTTAACCTGTGCGACAGTTCATTGGTGGGGCAAAACTCAACTGGCTTTATTGGGGACGCGCTCGATCTGAGACAGGGACCTACCTACACGTTTGGTACTGAATTTAACATTCCGTCAAATTGAAGACACCGACAATATCGGAATTGTATTTAAAGTCAGAAAATGCATCTACAGCTTCATTCTTAGCGGAAGAGACTTACGCTACACTTCATTTAAGAGGTTATCCTTTTATGGAGTAAAAACCATGGAGTCGCGTCCACTGTATTTCCCGGACTACGCAAGTTTAAGCAGTATTTCGACAACAAACAGGTGAGGAAAACATCCCATCTGCTCCGCGGAAAGCAAAAAAGCTGGTGATCCGGTTCGTCAAGCAGCAACACAATAACAACAACAACAGCTAGCGTGACCCGATCAAGGTTACTTTGCAAATGGCGTCAGAATCCCAAAGCGAGGTAGAAGGCGGAGCCAAGGACAAAAAAGACAGAAGGCTTTAAAAGCGCCAAAGTGGCGGGCGAAGGTCGCGTCACAACCAAGAAGATTCGTTGAACCGACAACAACGTTAAGCCTTCCAAAGACGGTCAAAGCGGCTCCCAGTGTACTCCTGTGCAAAACGATATCTTCAGTTAAAGATACAACTTATAGAGCTGACATGTCACTCATCAATGATAATGAGTTCGACGAGTTGTTGCCAGACTGTCTAAATTTATTTTGGCTACCTCACTATAGCATGCAGAAGCATTATTTCGTGAATGTGCGACCTTTAAGCCAAATCAACGATGCTGCCCCATTGGAGTTTCAGGAGTTAGCAGCTCAGGCCCAGACTACACCGACCTGACATGCACCCGTCTGCGTCAAAGTCAAAAGTAGCATATGAACCGATAAGCGCGGCCTTGGCCAAGGATGAAAATGTAGCTCCGGTGAACTTGTTTATGCAGTCGCTGTTTTCCCAGGTCACTTGCGGTCTACCACAGAACAAGCTCGTGTCCAGTACCAGCAACCATTACGCCTACAAAGGCATCGCGGGGGCCCTGCTGGGATATGGTGCGGAAGCGAAAAACACTCAGTTGGGAACGCAGTTGTTTGCCAGGGATTATCGCGGAGAGTGAGGTGGATCTGGAAAGCAGTGACGTCACTGGATCTGTCAATGGGGAAATGGCATTACGTGGCACTTTCATAGTGCTAAGCAAAGAACTTACCATGTCCGGTGCCCTTGTACAAAGATATCTTCGACATGAACCGACTCCTCCCCAGCGGCGTTGACCTGACTTTGAAAATGTTCAGATCAGAACCAAATTTTGTTTGATGAAGCGGCGTGACTGATCCGCGAATTCAAAGTTCAACTCTTCGGACGCTTATCTGCAGGTGTGCAAAGGTCAAAGTAAACCCCGCCTTGATCTTGTGCTCACAATACTTTTCAAAAATCAAACGCTCTCTACCCGTACACCAAAGCGAAGTCAAGGTGACCAACATCCGACCACTCAGCAGACGCGCTACCATAGACAACGCCAGCAATCCCGCCGCCAACCGATCGTTGTGGGACTTGTTGAAAGTTCGAAGTCTGAAACGGTAGCTACACCGTCAATCCCTATAATTTCAAGTCGTCCATGCTTAAAAAAGATAGCGGCTGTACTATCGGCGAGTCCAGTGTGCTGGTCAACTCAGCGAGAAGGCGACGATGTAAGCCTCTTCGTCAACATGCTCGACGGCGCTGGGACTGTGGAAGGAAGACAAGGGCAATGCCATCACCAGAAGCGAATTTCTCATGGGGAATGCCTTGTTCGTCTTCGACGACATCGACACAATGTCGCGCCGAGTCAGAGTACCTGAACTTGGTGAAATCGTTGAAGCGTGAGGGTCGAACTGGAATTCAAGTCAGCTCTACCAGCACGCAGAAATTCCCTCATCGAAATTGATCAAGCCCCAACGTGTTTGTCAAGTAACAGAATGAAAGCCTCTCAACTTATGTGCGCCATACAGTGTGATCCCAAGTTTACAATCTCACGTCATGGGCATTGCACTTAAAGATACGTTACCCACTATAACCCCTAGTTTGCATGCAGGTGTAGGACTTATTGTTAATACAGATCTGAGAAAAAAGTAGGTCATCACTGGATTGGCATGTATTTCTAATGTATGTGGTTTGTTTTACATTGTATTTTTTCT